TTTAAATTTTAGGAAACCACCATGTGTGTACAGTATATATAATCACACTATCAATGCCACCCCAGAGACCCCGCCTGTATCAGGAGCCAAGCTAGATGATGACGTTCAGCCTGAGACTGCAATTCATCACGGAGGTTGTCCTCAGGCCAGGCTATCTGTGATCTATAGTTGGATGGGATTCGGATTCGCCAACAAAAATAACTAGGGGACGCCACCTATCACCACCAAACGTATATAATATGTATTAACATGTTCTATTAAAAGATATCTATCCTCCGGCAAACGAACATCGATTTGGTAGCTATACTGCCGTCTGATAGATAGGTGTCATCTACTTTCTTGGGCCATGGTTTCCATAACTTTCTGCTAAATTACCAGAGGCTAGCCACAAAAAGCTACCTAAAAAAGCAAGGAACATGTGGATTTGACCGCTAAAATTGGGGTTTAATCCAATTCTTGGGGATAGTTGGCGCAAAGAATTTCAGTACTTACACCTGGCTGGTTAGTATGTAGAGTATGCGACGTGTATAATATGTGCACATGTGTATATACATGTGTGTGTGTGTGTTTATTTATATTTATGTTTATATTACATTATATCATATAATTATATTACTATATTCTATTCATATTGATATTGATACTTATATTTATGTTTATTCATATTTGTATCCATCCCCATAAACATGGCAAAGGATCATGCAGGTTGTTTTTTACAAGTTTTCCAGTCAGCTGGATCTTCCCCCAGTGAGATGGTCCTATCAGTGCCAAACCCATCACCATTCATCACTTGTTTGAAAAGGATCTAGCTCAGCGTCTTGACCAAAGATTCTCGCAATATTACCTCAGAAAGCTGCGGCAAAAACCTACGTGGGAGTCAGGATTTCGCTTTTTGGGGAACCGTTTTTGTTTTGTCTTGGATTTCTCAAAAAAATGGTTGGAGTCAGAAGTTGAGTCATGTTGGACTGGTTCACTGTCCCGTGATCCCAAACAATCTCAAAGATCAAGCATCATAATTATAAGAATCAAACATGTGGGTTTGTCTGAAAATAAGGGATCCCAAAATCCAGTGGTTTCTCATCATTTCTCCAATTCAAATGGTCATTTTGGAGTATACCCAGTATACCCCATTTCCGACAAACCCATTTCACCCAGCGGCCCTTGATCATGTCTCGTGTGATCTTTCGCACACGGCGCAGCAGACGTTTTTCCGGTACCACCTTTCGATGAAATTCATGGCAGTAGCGGCAGCCATCCGATGCACGGCATCCACCGATGGAAAAGAAGACGCATGGCCGGCAGCGTCCCTCATTGTGGGCCCCAGGGCCCTGGGCTGCTTCACCAGGGCCCTGGGCAGCATGATTTCGGGCGGTCAGACGAGCGTCCCAGGCAGCCTTTGTTTGCGGCTCATCAGAATCTTCCGAAACGATTCGGTGGTTCAGGGTCCTCGGGGCGGAGGATATCGGAGGATGTTGCTTTTTGAGAGGGACCCTCTGAGAGGGGTGTAAGATGGTGTAAGATGGTGTAAGGCTTAACTCACAAGTTGTCACATGAGGGTCTGGGTAAAAACATATTTTGTTTCTCAGGACAAATTCTTCAAATGCCACATCACTGCCCAAAAAGACCTGGGGTTGGACGGTAATGATGCAAGCCACTGGTGAAACTCTTCATTGGATACGTCCAATGATTCAATATGATTCAGATATGCTGTACCTTAAATGACCAAATTTGTGCCCATTGGTACCTGCAGGAAATGCTGTGTTCCATCACCTGAAAAAAAAATGAACTGAATGACCAGTCATTCATATGTTCAACTCCTTAATATGATCACAGTCTGGTCAATCGTGTGATCCACAGGGTCTCACGGCCAATCTTAGATACACGGAAATTCTATGTTGGTTAGTAAATAAACCAATTTGCTTTAAAAGGTTCAGTTGTATTCAACTAGGTCCCTGGTATCATTAAGACCACCTCGTTCCTATTTCCATAAAACCATGCCTGCCATTTCGATGTTTCCCGCAAAACCATGGGGAATTCCCATCATTTTTCATGACTTTCCCCTATTGGAATTCGGGTTTCGGGTTAGTGGTAAAAACAGGCAGCAACCGGTTTTTTAGAACGTGTTCTTTACCTACCGGAGGGAGTAGAGGTAAAGAGTCGTCAGCCCCAGTTTCTACCAAGACTCCGCACCCAGGTGTCAGTGGAACTGTCCATATCTTCATCCGACTCATTTGTCCAATTGCCCACACTGTCGTCGTGAGCCCCTTGCCGTTCTGTGGACTCACGGAACGCACATGACGTGGTCATTTTTAAGTTGGCTTCGAGCCAGGAGACAAGAGTGGGACATGTGCAGAAGTTCGGCTGCAAACTTCGTAGTGGGTAACTTCCAGATACTCAGAGGACTTTGGAAATCTTTCGAAAGTCATTCAAATATTTCTAATCATCAAAGAAATGTTGAATCAAATAACCCATCAAAATCCCATCAAAATCAGTGATCAATCCCACATGTGCATGGCTCCCCTAAGCTTCGGCACGACCTCATGGATGGCACGGTGCGCCTGAAACAGCAGACCCGGCCAAGGCCCGTGCCGAACCATTGAAAGGATGCTATTCTTTAGTAATCTTTGGTAGGAAAATGATGGAAAATGCGGTTTCATATCCTACTGCTACAATGGATATATGATATATGATATATGCATGTATGTGTATATATATATATTAATATATGGTTCAGCCCTGCAACCCCACCTCCCCCTCCTCATGTTCATGGTCCTGTATGTACTCTGCATGTTGGAGGCTTTGTGTAGGATGTAGTTGACATGTCGCTAGCATATAAATGATAGATGTATGATAGATGTAGGGTCTACTTTACCCCCACCCGCCCTCTGGGATATGGGATGATACATCCAATCCTGCAAAGAATCCCCCTGGAGTGTAGGATAGCTGCTGTAACTAATTGTAACTAATTTTGTAACTGGTGAATGTCTATTGCCATGTCTGATTACCGGAGGCTATCCAGATACAAATATGATTATAAAGTATCCCCAGTAATCATAATCCCATTTATTACTGATGAAATACCCCCATGATTGGAGGCGGATCGCCATATCCCGTTAAATACCGCCCCCATTTTGTTTGATGAAATCACCGTTTCAAACCCGTTAAATCCTGTTAAACTATACAAAATTCCATGCTAAATCCTCTGGAAAATCATCTGTAGAATCTAATGGAAAATCACCGTTTCTCACCATGTTTTATCATGTTTTATCTAGATCAATGGCATGACCCGGGGGGATGTGGATTGATCCCCAACGCCTCTCCACAGGGTTCTTGGAAGGAAGCTTTCATGGCCAGAGCCTGGAAAGCTTCCAAGGTGGAAAAACGAAAAATGGGATAGCTAATTGGGATTAATTGGGTAAGCTAATATACTGTTAAAGGTAATCAAACATGGCAACATTGGGTAAATGATAAGAAATTATTTACAGGGAATATGATAATCACGAGATATAATTTGAGTTGTCCGTGTTTGGCTTGAGACTAGTGGGGGGGGCGGGGGAGGTTTTGGGCGGGGTGGTGCACGGCAAGGTGCTGAAATTTCAGAAATGGGTGCTCAAATTTTGGAAATAGGCGCGGGAAGTGTTTTTTGAGTAAAACGAATCGGGATCCAATCGGGATCCAGTCGGGATCCAGTTGGGCACCAATGTCCGGAGGCACCCAAATTCATTTTTAAAAAAACAGCATGTTTCCAGATTTTTGCAGGGTTTTGGCACGTTTTTGGGTGCTTCCGGACAGGATCCCGACTGGATCCTGATTGGCCAAAAATGCCAAAAAATGCAAAATTGCTGCCCGACTGTATCACAACTGGACCCCAACTGGATCCATAGATCGGCAAGAAACCACTCCCGCACCGCCTTCGCCCCTATTTTCCCCTGCCCAGACCCACCCTGGCCCCTATGTTCCTTTTCCGCGCACCAATACCATCCAATACCCCCCCTCCTGCACCAAAACGGCAAAAGCAGTCTTAAGCCAAACGGGAGTTCTACAAGATATAATGGGAATCTACCCTCTGGTGTCAAAAAAAATGCACTTATGAAAATCCCCTCGAAATGGATGTCTCTAGCTGGGAAAGCATCGAACTAAATTGGGTGTTTTCCATTGCCATGTTTGATTATCGGGCCCTAAATATATGCAAAGCTATCTAAAAAATATGCTGCAAAGTGGTTTGATCAAACATCAAATAGGGGTGGTCCTATGTTCAAACAAAGCCATTTCACATGGCTAAAAGATGCCCTGAGCCGATGTCCTTCTTGGAGATGGCTCATCCTTGAGTTTTGGATTTTTTTGGCTACATTTCAGGGTGAGACTTCTATGTCTGAAAATCTGGAGTACCCATTTTTATGGATTGAATATAGAACATGGTTCTTAATCAGTGGATAGAATCAGCTACAGTAACTTATTTTCACAAAAAAAAAAAGCACTCCCAATCTGAGTTCGCTATATATCCGTATTGATTGCTGATCTACTACCTGTTGGTATTCTTCTAAGCGGCAGATTATCGCTGCTTCAGGATTATCATCCCATCGACAATACAACGTCATGTGATAATACCATGCATACCCATGTAATACCATATAATTAACTATTTTGTGTGGATAAATCAAATCACTGATATTACATGATAAACCATATAAATCATATAAATTATGATAAATCACCATCAAATCATCAACCACTGAAGAAGTTTAGTGCCTCCATCCTCCATCTCCCGCCTTTGCTCGGAGATACTTTGACAGCAGAAAGCCAGACTCCTGCAGCGACCAAAGGGTTGAACGACCATCGGCCGATCTGTGAGTTGGATGCCGAAAAAAACGATGATCGCTTCACCTAGTCACTCAAAAAATGCTAAAGATATCTGAAGGAAACCCCAAAAAAAATTGAGTCCGGGGTCTCATAGATCCCCATTTAAAATCCTCATCTGATTTCTAAAGATATCGATATTTGTTGAGTTCCACAGCACCATGTCCGCGCTAAAGTTCTTTCGACGCCAGGTCGATGGCAGCCCCTCACAACTCGCCCGACACGTGCTCGCTTTCGATGAAGCTGAGGACGTTGTACCTGGGGTTGTCCGAGTTCTAAAGATTGAGGTAGTTGGGTACCCCCAGATCCACTGGTTTTGAACGTCGCCCGACAAATCGCCTTGGCATCTATGGGAAAAGCCCAAAATCCATTGGTTTTGGAAAAAAAAAACATCGTCCGTAAGCTTGCCATTTGGGTATCCACCATGTTTTTTTCAGCAACCCCATCACGTGCCGGTTTCTTCCATCGTAGGCTGTCAAGTTCAACCACAATTGGACCTAGGGCCATACCATTCCATACCTGGTTGGTGGTTTTTCCCTACCCCTCTGAAAAATGATGGACTGAAAGTCAGTTGGGATGATGAAATTCCCAAGATATTCCCATGATATTCCCAATATGATGGGAAAGTCATTCAAAATTCCATGGTTCCAGTCACCACCAACCAGCCTTTTATATCCTTTTATGTTGTACTCATGGAAGTTATGGTTGGACTCTGCCAAGGCCAAGCGTCTGCTTAATGAAATCAACCACTGCTTGGACTGTCCATCGCTCTACCATGGCCTTGTAGCCATCCAGAGGCATCACCTACGCGTTTGCCCACAAAAAAAAATCTGTTGAAGATAGTAACCATCCAATGAAAAGATATGTTTCGGGAAAAGAATCTCTATTTTTTCCCATCTAATTTCTGATAAACCATATTAAACCATCCAATTTTGGGGGAAAGAATCGCCTCTGGCGCACCAGTTGCAGCTCAGGACTCCCCATGAGTATGGAATATTAGGATACGATTCATTCCCTACCTGTAGCCACGGGATAGTCATAAGAAAAATTAAGAAACTCTGACATTGGAGGCCCGGAACAGTCCGGTGAACGGTCGCAAGCTCAAATGCTGACCATCGTTCCCAGAATGTTCCCAGTCGGAAACGATGAGTCAGGAATCTTTCCGACAAAAGACAACTTGGACCAATAGATGAATCCAGAAATGTATCAATAAATGGATCATCCATGATCATCATCCCCCTTAGGGTAGACGAAGCATTCTGTCTATCCATGGCTATGGCGGTGCCGGCCTTCCCGTCTAAGTACAGCACTATGCTGGGAGGCTTCGTTGACACCTTGGGAGCAGTAAATGTCTCGACCAACGGACCCCAAAAGAAGCTTGTCTTCAAATCATTGGAAACACATTAAAACTATTTAAAAAACTTAAACGTCAGCTCCTAGATGCAAACGTCAGATGACTGGGGTTCACTCTTGTTCCGCAGTAACCAGTGGAAGGGCGAAAAAATCTCATCCCCAAAAACCAGCGAGTTGGTTTTTTCACCAGGTGAGAGAATATCTCGTGGCACCACAGGCTGTCCAATGACAGCAATTCCCAGACCTCCTGAAATTCTCTGAGATTTGCCTCAATTTGGTCATTTTTTCTTGGTGAAATCCACCACACTTCGACCCTTTCTGGTGGCGCCGCTCCGACTCCGACCTGTTTCAGGACGCTTTGCGCGAAGACGCTGCCGATGCCAGCCCCTGCAGTCGATGCCCTAAGCCCAAAAATCCACTGGTTGATCATGGTTCATGATGATTCTCTATGAAAAAAGTGCCAATCTGAGCCACAACCTAAAATCTTTCAGAAAAAAATCCCTTGTTTTCAACCTAAAATTCAAACCACAAGGGCGATATGGATTTCATGGATTTAAATTAAATCCTGACTATTCACTCAAAAAGCCTAAGTCCTCGGCAGGACGTGCACAAGCCAACATAAGCCAACTGCTAATACCATCATACCCCATCTCCCTAGAAACGCCAAGCCCTGGGCGACGAAATGAAGAAATTGGGCACCACTGAAGCATGGTTGATGTTTCGTTGATGTTTCGTTGATGTTTCGTTGATGTTTCGTTGATGTTTCGTTGTTTCTGGGGCGCTATCCTCGGTTTCTGGATGTTTCTTGGGCGCTGTCCGAAGCCGCGGGCCTATGTCATCTTTGTCGACATGTTGGAAAAGCTTCCAAATCGCTTCCAGGTACCTGGCAATCTGACAGAAAAATGTCCTCCCCCGTTTGATCCCCATATGGCTGGTCAGACCACAAAGAAAAGGATGAAGAAGACATGAAATTGAAATCCCTGGAAAAATCAGTCAAAACGCAGTGTCAAATGTGTCAAATCAAAGAAGTGCAGCCAAAGCTGCACTTTGTGCTCTCGGTCTCCCTCCTTTTTGAAGTACCCGATGATGGCAACCTCGAGGCGTGAGCGATTGGGATCACAATTACATCAAACATCGATTCGGATTGGGATGAATCTATCTGTGGCCAATCACCCAATCATCCCCAAATCATAATATGCATGTATTATATTATATTATATTATATTATATAATATAATATATTATATTATATTAATTTATATTATATTAATTTATATTATATTATATTGTATTATATTACATTACATTACATTGCATTATATTATATTATATTCTATTATATTATATTATATTATATTATATTATATTATATTATATTATATATAGTATATATATATTTATATTATATCATATATATATAGAGAGAGAGAGATATTACATATTCTATATCCTTCTGTGAAATTTACGAATGAGATACAGTACTTTGCTTGCATCCTCCCGTGTTGTCAAATTGCTCAGATTGGCCCAGTGTATGCTGAAAAGTTTAACCACCAAAAACCAACAGGAAGCCACCAACGGTCACCAACTGTTTCCATGTCCCCATGTCACGGATGGGTTGTTGTCTTGGACATCACAACTGGTCCTTGTGTGAAAACCACCAATGATCTCAAAAAAAATCATCAGCGCCAAGGCCGTCCAAAGCGCCGATTTATGTGCAATTCTAAATTTGAAATTTCAAGGTTGTAACACTGAAATACTGTTGGCACCGTAGAATGTCCCAGGTTTTCTGACTTGGCTTGGAAGTTATCCTCTGTCATTGATCACTGGATCGCTTTGTGGCCCTGTCGATTCCCAAGTTCAAGCTGAAATCAGTCTACGATCCTTCGAACCTACCACAGTTAAAAGGAAAACAAAACGCACCATAAGGAGAAAAAACCGAAGAAAAAAAAAACATGCAAACCTCACCATGGTCATCATCATGGTCATCATTTCAAAATGATGACCATTGTCATCATTTGATGACCATGGTGGTCATGGCATTTGGCATGATCATCATTTTCAAAAAGACGACCATGGTCATCATGTTTTTGAATTACTTTATGATACTTTATGTATGAAGACGACCATGCGCAAAATCAGGATGATGACCATGGTCATCATTTTCTGGATGATGACCATGGCTGCAATGCCTTAACGACCATGGAAAAATCGAAGACGACATAATTTCATGATGACCACAACAAATGATGACCAGGATGATGACCATCGTCAAAAAATGTGCCAACCTGAAAAAAAACGCGGACAAAACGAGAAATTGGAAACGAAACCCGGTAACCCGACCATCAGGAAACCCGACCACCGCACATTCGACCGCAGTTTCCCGATTTTACAATGCAAAGAAAAAGCGAAGTCTCTGGCTATGTCTGCCTGAATACTTAAAAGGATAGGCAAGTGTTCTTTCTCCCATATACAAATATATACGAATATATACAAATTTTGGAATACTGGCGTGAGACAGCCATGGGATGTATGATGTTGAGAAAAATCATGCTAGTCCCACACGGTGCACAAAAAGTTGTCAGGCGCGCCATGGAGGAGCCAACAAAATCATGAAACTCAGTGCTTTGTTGGCCAAGCCTGAGTAATTCCAGTGGTGCAAAATTCTTAAGAAATTCCCAGAGTACTTTTCCATTGGATATTCCCCATGGATAACATTGGATAACCCTAGACCCCAAAGGGATCCAAAGGGGGCAATTCTCGACAACATGATTCCTTGCCCGTTGGAGAAGGCCACCTGGTTGTTCTTCAAAAACTTGCTGTGTTTCTTCATGCTTGGCAGCACTGTGGCATAGTGAAGGTTGGATCCTCGCTGTTTTCCCCGGGGCCGCATTGACATGCCATCCTCTGACCCCTTGAAGCAACGCTACAAGAGAAAAACCATGCAAGTAGTCAAGTAATTCAATAACGTCCAATCTTGGAGGCCCCGAATATACATGTTTATACCACCCAGAAATTCTGGCTTTTCGGGTGAGTCATTTGGTTTTTTTTTTCACAGCTGTCACAGCCCACAGCTCCACGATGCTCCACGTCTCGCTCCTTGGGCATCTTCGCCCATATACTTGGTGAGCATCCACTTCTGTCCATCTGGATTCCCTGGCTCAGCACGGTGCAAACATCCAGAGATGTGCAACAAAAACAAGGAGAATTGGGTTCCAAAAAATAAAAAATGCTGGGAATATAGCTATGGAACTTATGGAACCTCACCAAAAACCGAAAAAGGGCAAGAGATGCACCTTGGTACTTGTCACGAATGACTTCAAAGTCCTGCACTTTGAACATTTCCCGAGAGGACCAGGCAATTTCCAACTTCGGAACAAAAACAAGTCTGAATATATACTTGTTTCTGGAGAATATGGAAAATGGGAGAACTTTGGTTTTTTTCCCCATATCCCTATTTTCCGACTTGGTGTTTGTGAGAGAAATGTGGAACATGTACTAACCAATGGAGCCAAATAGCTTATTTCTTTTCGGGGGGTGATATTTTTACCTGGCAGACACTACAATGTGTAACCCGCCAGGGTTCCGACTGATGCCTGTCTGATGTCACTTTATGGCAACCACTGTCCAACTACTAAGAAAGGGACAAAGGGATGTGTGTTATTTTGAAACTTAGAGAAGGGAGACATACAGTAAGTCCTAGGACCCCAAAAAGAGAGCAACCAAATCTGGAACTTGCAAAAAGAATGGAGGTTGCTCCGCAACTCCGCTACAAGCAAAGCATTGTGGAGACCAGCAACGTTGCACATAGCATCTTTGCGTGCTGCCTCTCAAACCCTTCCAAGCCCTTCCCAATACCGTGTTCAACCATCAATCTGCGGATTGTGATGGCAACAAAAACTAGACAATTCAACGGGCTAGTTCCCTCTATGTCGTTTTTTATACTTGATTTGATCAGTAAAAAATCCTATCCCAAACTGGTCGACCAATGTGGCGCTCCAATCCCATCCTGAAGCACGGAGATATGGGACTATAACTTCCATATAATTTCCATTAATAACTGGTATATGGAAGTTATAATCCCATATTAACTATATATAAATAAACGAATGTTACTTAACTAATGGTACTTTCATAGTCATGTTATTCATGTTAATGCTCACCATAAAAACCATTAGTAACTTCCATTCATCAACTTCCAGTCCTTCGGCTTAACTTCCACCGGTCGACCAAATTTGTACATCACATTCCTCGGTTTTCATCGGGGCCATCGCTGGGCCATTTAAGAAATCCATGAGTCGCTTCGGCTGATGAAATCCATGTGTAATGTACTTATATAACCGTATGTATGTTTAATGTAGGACCTGCATGTATAACATTCTATAACCTTCATGATCTAATATGTATATATATATATATGTATGATGTGTAATGAACATAGATGAAATAGATGGCAATAATGATAAGAATGATATAGAAAGATATGGATATGGATGGAAAGTTCACTTTTGTTGGGACAGGGGGTGAATCTGAACCCTGCGGACCTGCGCCAGCCTTTTCGTCCCAGCAGCGTGGGCACCATGTTGGATTCCACCCACCTCTTCGACATGTCGCGGTCCTGCCGCGGTCAGGGGCTGTTCACCCTTTGAAAAATCTGCGAGTTGATTAGGGGTTCATCAATGCTGATTAATGTTCATCGATGTTGGCCAATGTTGGTCAATCTTAGTCAATCTTGGAAATGGGTTGGCTAGCGTTAAGATGCGTTAATACCGGCAATTTGAGCCACTAATCACGTCGATTTCTCACTGCTTCTGGTTGCTACGATAATTCTCGTAGCGTCTATTACTACAATGTGGTAAGCCCAACAATAAGCAACCCCTAATACTACCCGAAATGGGTGGTACAAACCATCCCAAAATGGTAGGTTTAGTTTATGATTGGGTTTGCCACAATACTTGGATCCTCTTGTCTTTTGGTTTGCTACTGCGAAGTTTGCCACGAATTCGCTTCGATGTCCGCCCAAGATTTCTGCAGATTCCAGAAACAAGAAGCCCCTATCAACGCAACGATGACAAGCTTGGAAATATTCGACCATTGCACACACACCACTCATAGGCATCTTAGACACCCTGCGAAAGAATCTATCTTCAGCTGGGTGTTACAGTATACAGATATCTATTGTTCCACCAAACAAATATAACTATGTATATAAATATATATATATATATGGCAAAAAAAAGAAACGACCAAACTGTCACCAGGTGGCTTGCCCTAGAAATGACGAAGAATTTGAAAAATTGGACACCTCCAATATTTCTAATTTTGGTTCTAACGCATGGATTTCCGCATGAATTCTCTACCTTTGGAGGGTCACTCACCTTCCAGAACTACCCCCAGTCCTTATCGACGTCGATACGGCCAAAATGGATTCGCGACCACTTCCACTCCCGTGCCAGCTGCTCGAACTTCGCGCGGATGTCGATGTTGAGCCGACCCTTGGCGGAGTAGAAGAGCGCATAGACGTAGTCGTTGTCCTCCCAGCAACGTCGTGGAATTTGAAATATAGTAGATGAAAAAAAAAACATGAGTCTCATAGATTCTGATCATCCCCTTTATATATCCCAATATATATATATATATGTACATTTCTCTCCATGCCTTCCAACACCTGATGCACATATATATATATATATGATATGTATATAATATATATATATATACGTATATATATATATATTAGAGGGTACGAGTAGTATAAGTCCAATCATCAACCAGGGCTATGATCAGATGGCCAGAAGACATGGAAGACCATACTTTGCAGGTCAAAAATGAAAATTCTCCACAAAAACCGGGTTGGCTCTGCTATGTTAAAAAGGAAATTGGCTTCAGCCGCCCCAAACAGCTCCAAATACACCATTTGACGAGAATTGTCAAGGGCAATAATGATGTAACATGATGGAACATGTAGGTATGTCCCCTAGTCATGTAGGGCAAACGCAAAAAAAAACTACTCCCATGGCAAAACACGACCCGTCACTCCCGGCCTGGATAAACTTATCCAGATCGTAGCAACAGCTACAGGCCTGGCTTCAGATGAGAGATGATGATTTCAAATGCATTAAACATGTAGCGCCAACTATATCCATCTATATCATCTCTATATCATTTCTATATCCAATAGCATATCCCACCATCAGTGTGACTAGCCGCACCCGCTGCAGCCCGCTGCCTCTGCTGTGAACTGCACCACCGGATCATCACCTAGTCGATCCTGGGGGAGATCACTGCCCCACTGGCGATGTTGGTGTGAAATAAAAAAAATGAGATATTGCCAACAGAAAGAAATTTGTAGATGTGAATATTACATCATATAACAGGAATTAACAGGATATCACCATCTTCAAATATGACAATCTTCCAGATTAAACATTTTAATTCTTCCAATGATTATGCAATATAAACATGATTATGAATGGCCATAGATGGTTGTGTGTATGATGGGTATACAGTAACTGGTTTGGTTATTTACCCTCCGGTATTCAAACCTAACGATGGAATTCCCTCCATGTCATTATTGATGATTTCCAATGAATACCTCAATTGATTGGAGATTTCATATTGCCATGTTTGATCCCAAAGCCCTGCTTTGTGGCTTTGTCAGTGTAAATCGGGTACTATACATATCCTAGATTCAGACAACTCCAGGTATCAAAAAAATTCTTTGCTAAACAGCCCACTATATCAATATCCCATAATCTATCCCCCATAGTTGATGATTCCCCACTGTATCTGAAAATGGGCTAAACCATGGTACACTACAGTAGAAGTATATGAAGTATAGCCGAAATTGATGGCCATTTAGATGGGAAAATGATGGAGCCGCCTGGCACGGCTCAGCTGCCACCAGGGCCAGACCCAGCCGCCATGGCCGGGCGAAGCGCATTGATTGCTGGAGTCTGCGGGGGGTCTGCTGTGTCAAAAGGTCTGGCTTGTTCCAAAAAAAACACGCGAGTTGATGAGAATGATGAGGTTTTTTGTGAAGCAAATACAATCGTGAAAGTGTTGACTTTAAGTAAGATACTTTCAGTACTTGTGCTTTGTCTCCGATAACTGAAGAGTCCTGGCCCACAGAGCAAGAATTTGGAGAGGATCAGTTTCTGGCAGGCATCCACCAGTTGGAGCGTGGGCCTCATGCTCACTCTCGATATTTTTTCCAACTTAGCAAGCCTCATGGTCGCCCCATGGTCATCTTCCAGCATGAGGATAAAACCTCTAAGCTGCTCGAGCCACCAGCCCCAAATGGCAGAAGCCTTCCAAACCTGGCAAAATGAGTTTGTCTGAAACTAGGTGATTACCCCTAAGCCTAAATATGTTGGTCAATCATGGTTAATCATCCTGTTCATGCTCAAAGTGCCATTTGGGGTTAATTAATCCCTCATGTCCCGACACACCCAAATCATGATATGCTTGGTTATGTATGGTTATATTTCATGACTATCCATCCAGCATATCATATCCCATATCGTTTACTCATTTTCTGGCGAAAACACCATTGAATCACCATGTATCTTCTGTCCTCAGAGCTGCACCACCAGGCCGAAAACCTCAGGATGCAGGCCATGACATGAAACCACAGCGTCACAGCGTCAGACCATTTATGGAGAGTTACACTAAGGATTAAACAAGATGAAATTGAAACATCTTCCAGAAATTAAACATGGCAACGAAAAATCCCCTATCAATGGATATCAATGGAGGCTTTGAATGAGAAAATCATCGAACGAAATCGTGAGTTTTCCATTGCCACGTTACCCGGTCGGGTAGCTGTCTGACTATCCCAGGAAGCCGAGTCACGCCACGCCACCGAGCATCAGCAGAGGCACCAGGGTCAGTGGCAACGCCAGGTATTTCAGCGCGACAACCTCGACCGTGCCATCCAACATGCTCCGGAAAAAGGGTCATTCTAGTCATACATGGTCTAAAATTCATGTGTATTAATGACTTAAATGATCTAAATATATAACTTATATAACTCTCAAGAGTCTGTGTGTACACTGACACTATCATACACTTGCGAATACATCGCATCTGAAATCGCCCTTCCTTTCCACCCAAGAGGTCGCAAAGAGCTGTGGCGCAGTTGTAGCAAGCCTTGTTGGCCAAGACATCTGGTCGTCTCAACTGGTAGTTGATGTCTGCATACCTGCGAGGGATTTTCAACGGCTGCAATCCGTGGTTTGGTGAAGACGGGTCTGCAATTTTCATGTCGTTCTTGGGTAACAATGTTCCGAACATTGAATTGCCTAAAATGAGACCCCAGAATGAATAGATTGACCGGGTGAACAACAGTATAACCTAGGGGCATATGCAATATCACCCGCTAAATGTGGCTCATGGGTTGTATAAACCACTTACATCCACTTACAAATTACTAAGTGGGATGTTAGTCCACGACCAAGACCTTCCCCTCAACCCATCTCAACCAGTTCTCAACCCTCGGCTCACCGTATCACCATCAAACGATTGAAGCTGCCCCACATGCGATACCTGTGGCCACTTGCACGGCGTGGCGAAGCAGCTGCAGGTCCCAAGGAACCCATCGGGTTTCTAACGGCAAACATATCCTCCGCTGCACCAGCTCATCATCATTCACAATCGTCCTTATCACATTGGGGGGGTCCCAGTAAATCCATGTAAATCCCAACTGGGACGTCCGCACGCCCAGAACGCAGTAAAAATGCCACCGACCCAGTAGAGGTTCGGGAGCGGCGTCTGCAGTGCCGCAGGCCAACCGGACAACATGTTTTTTCCCATGAATAGAGTGGTTTCCGATGGTTTCCGGTGTCAATTTTCCCTGAAACACCAATCCATTGATCATGGGGGTGTGTAACCAACTGGATATGAATAATGGGAGTAATTATGGAGTATTATGGAGTATTACGGAGTAGTGGCATGACTATAACCAGTAGTCTTCGTTGAGGATATGGGCTTTCATCATCACCATGAAAAATATGTTGAGCTTTCAACCCAACCTTGGGATGTGAAGAATGCAGAAGAGGCTTTTCAAGCTGTGAACATTTTTTTGAACTGTAACTCAGTCTATAAACATCCACTTAAACATGTTTTATCATCTTTGCACATCGACATCTTTGGGGTTTAGGGTGTCCACAAACATCTCCCATGACCAGGATGACTTCGTCGCATGGGACCCATGACCAGATGGACCTCTGGCAAGCGTCGCCATAAGCGCAGAACGATGTCTTCGTGTTGCGGCACCTGACCGTGTTTCGGCACGAGTACTCGGACTCGGCATGTTTTGTAACGAGGAACAAAAGGGGGACATTCGAAAATACCAAATATATCCAAATATCATAGGCTAATAATAGGTATCTATTTTGATCACCAAAACCTGAGGATTTAACATGATTTAACCAACAAAACCGTACAAATGGAATTATATATAATCACCCGACGACCCACATGGGGATACAAAGGCCGCCCTTTCGCAAAGTCAGGCCATTTTTGGGAATGTGATGGAATGTGCCTCTCACTGGTCAATTGGTATTGGGATGATCGTCCTCGGCAAAGAAATGTTCATCAAGTCTTCATCAAATCCCAGACGCGAGTGGTTGACATGGAAAAAAACCTGAAAAAGAATGGATCAAAATTCGATCAGCATGGGACATTTACCCTCTAGTAAACGTTTACATAACTATGGAAAATCACCATGTTTAATTAGGGTAAATCCACTATTTCAATGGCCATTTTCAATAGCAAACTGTTTGTTTACCAGAGGGTACCACGGCATTTGCAACCCCCCCCTGTCGGCCTCGGGCTGGTCGTCAAACTTCACGTCTTCGCCACGCCGATCTTTCAGCGTGTGATGTGCCTGGCTACCCAAGAAGCCGTTGTTCGGGTAGATCATGAGCTACAGCTTACGCTAATAGTAGTGAATAATGGCTAGTGATATGATTAATCATACAGTAGTTAATAATGACAAAGCTAACCCCCCAAAAGAAATATTGAAACGACCCAATTTACCGCTACTAAAATAAAAGGTACAATTCATCATCCATTGCGTCGAATTTGCTCTTCAATGTCAATTGCGTACTAAATCCGTTTCGTAATTTGGGTCAATCACCACTCAAGTTCAATTTATATCCATTTATGACTTTCACCATACCTCAAAATAATCCAACTTGTCCAATTCTATTCAATCATTTGATAGTTGCCAAGTACATCCCTTTGATTGAAAGCATGTTGTTGAAGCAATTATTCAATGATTGAAAGTAGATGTCCATTCAATCATTAAATGACAATCATTCAATCTGTCATAATTACGACTTCGTTTACAGTGAACCAGCAGTAATGTCATGAACCAGCCATAGATATCATATGTTATCATAGTTTTGATGCTTCAAACACAAGCCATTAAACATGGTAAAGTCATTGGTGCACCTGGGAGAAGTCCTCATGACTCAACTTGGCCTTGGCCCTGGCGGTCTCGAAACTTGGAGAAGCGTCTCGATGGGCTAAGCTGTGAAAAATTGGGCGAAAATGGGGGAGAACTATTGGATACTATTGATTAAACATGTGGAAAAATGGGGGGAACAATGGAAGGTACCCTCTGGTGAACTAACATAGCAATGGAAAATGGCCATTTATAGTGGATTTTCCCATGAAAAATGGTGGATCTTTCCATTGCTATGTTAGTTCACCAGAGGGTAATATGAATTTGAGATGATTGAACTTCTTGCCTCCTGTTTCCTCCCAGAAATATGGCGCTCTTCGGAGGGGGCTAAAAGCACTTTCCGAGCACCAAAAAGTAGAGGAAAAAAGCCCTTTCAGAACAAGAGGCGGACCCCCCGTCTCAAAAAAAACAAATGTGTGCGGCGTCACGATTCGGAAAGAAGATGATAGAATATATATATATAAATGATAAAAAAGGAAAAAGATCCATAAAAGATCCATAAAAATACCGTAATTACCGTAGTTCTGTGAGTCGTCCCTTCCATCTCGTTCATCAGCGCGATGAAATTTTTGGACACGGCAGTGCTTTTTTCTCTGAGCTCACCAGAGGAATGACCTGGGGGTCAACTCAGAAGAGAAACCTGTGAAAAAACATGGGGTACACCCGCATGGAACCGCTATCTTAGCTATGACCTAAGATACCCAGATTCCAGCTGGTATAGGTCTCTTTGAGTCATGATAGCCTCTCCCAAATGAACCAAACTGACATGGGATACTTTCAGCTTCAGCCGTGTTTGGGTTCGTTTGAGTGTTGCTGCAGGGATGTAGTTTTTGTTGCGGTGCCCGATTCACAGTCTGTTATCGCCAAACCTACCGGCTGGTAGTTGGCTGAGAGGCATTCCCACCATAATCCCGTTCAACCCCATACAATCATGTCACGTCTGATTTCTATACCCGTCTTTTGCTCGTCAAATTACTTATGCCCCCAATAAACCAGCTTCAAATCTCCGTATTTGTTGGTGATTATCCTCATTGATGGTCAAACGGTTAATCCTGTTAACAATTACATCAACAATGTTGCATGGTTGAACATGCTTGAACATTGAGTTATTGGTGATTGCAAATTAAACATCCATGAAACATCCATAAAACATCCGCACCTTCGGTCCCGTGCCACCATGGGACGTCCAAAAGTGTGCAAAAGGGCTGCCATTCGCAGCAGATTTCTGGACTTCGCAAGCTGGGACCTGGCGGCAAACGAGCAGATCGAAGGGAATGAGTTGGTCTAAAAAAGATGTGGTTAATGTATATGTATATTTAATTGTATTTAATTATGATACTTGATAATTGTCAAATATCTGACACCAGTAGTACAGTATAGTGATATTATATTGTACCCATTATTGTTATTATCTGATTAAGAATAAGTAGCAAATCATTGCCATGTTTCTCAGATACATTGCTGTAAATTATTAGACATTGTTGACAAAAAGTGGGCTAACTGCCCCGAAGCACCAGGACAAGAAATCATTTCCACGAAGTCGTTTATGGCATGTCTGGGTGGCCATACATCACTTGAGACAAAAGCATTTGGAGCTGATGAACACAACCCACAATGCTTTGGATGTTTCGAGGTCATCTCATAAATCTGTAAACCGTTCTGTCGTATGGCAACCATCAATCCTGATCCCGATCCAAAAGAGTTGCAGCATCGACATCCCTGGCCCAGGCCTCATATCACCAGCTGGGATGGCTCCCCAGAGCCAACCGTCTTTTTCACCAGCGTCAACATCACATCTGGAACAATCATAGGAACCAAATGCCCTCAGCGCTGTGACGAAAAGTCGGTGTAGTGGTTCAGCCGCTTCAGCTTCGCAGATCTCCACCCGTTCAAATGGCACAATTTTAACGCACGTGACTTGAGGGAAAATGCCAAGGTCTATTCGAATTATGTATTGGATCTTACAGGATTTTACTGCCACCGAATGATGATGAACAGAACATTATGAGATATAACTATAGATACGGTAATTCAGTGTAATTGATGGAGTTTGCTTGTTTGAGGTTGTACATGCTCTCCGCTAGAATGTCGAGCGGCCAGTGTTCAAGAGCGTGTAGTACGTCAACGACTTCGCTGAACGCTTGTAACCTGCTTGCGAAACAATCACACAACCCTCACAAGTAGTCAGTTCCAGTCGATGAATGGAAATTGCTGCCTCTCCAACTATTGCAAGTGGATTGTGGGGATCTTGTAGGTACAGAGGAGGTATCCTATGTAATAAAATAATAAAATATATCATGGGGGTGGGTATTAGTGGGGGTTCTTAAACTGGGGTGGGCCGGTGGTTTTGGGGTTCAGTTTAAGAAGCCCCCATTCAATCCCAAGGTTCATCATACCCTCTGGTAAACATACAAAAAACTCATGAAAAATGGTGATTTTCCATAGTTATGTTAGTTTACCAGAGGGTATGTCCTTTATTGCCATCAACCAGAAATTGGTCGAAAAAATCCTGCATTTTCAGAGACCTCATATGGGCAACTTGCGGCAAGACCCTGGCATGGGGAACGCCTTAAAAAAGGCGTTGCCAATGGATGTTGATTCCCCCACATACTGTCCCCGGATCTTTATTCACCGCAACCGGCAATCCCCTGACTGGGCTACTCCCCGTAATAGTTAAATAAGCCTCATTTTTCTTGGTAAATTGCCATATCTCTAGCAATTTCTTGCCCATATTCCAGGGCCGAACATATTCCATGCCAAAATAGCTGGGAAATTTCAGGGAATTGCGAAGACCCCTTTCAGGTGAAATTTGTATTTCATACAGTTTGCCAAGTATTCCTTTTCTTCTGGCACGTACGTTGTCGACTGCACATGTTCTTCCCCAAAGAAGATCCTTACTTTCAACAATTTCTGGAAATGTCATAATTAAAAATGTTGAGCTTTCCAAAAATGGATTAATAATGTTCTTATGGAAATTTGTCATCTACACTTTTCACGATCCCAAAACCCAATTCATAAGCTTTAAGCTTATGTTCTGGCACGCTTGGCTGGCCTTTCATCAGCAGCGCCATCCCCATCTTTCTTGACATCTTTGTGGCCCCGCAAAGAGCTCTGCACAACAGGATCTGGGAACACAAATCATCGACGATCCTGTTTTCTTCCGTGCAAAATAATTCCACCGATAGAGTACGATGCCACCCCTGGAGTGCGCTAATTTTCTGGAATGCGAAAATAAAACAGTATGCGTGGCCCCCTTTGACCTTCCCCATGAATCCAACACCAGTTTTTTCCATCATATACCAGAAAATTATCACATTTCACCCTGCTGAGCTTTTTTTTTCTTTTTTCTTTTTTTTTTTTGGCCAAAATTGCCTGGAATGCGATAGTATGTGCAACTACAGACGTCTCACGAAAAACCGCTACCTTTCCCATATTCCAGAAAACGTGATTCCAGGCGATTTTAGCCCAAAAAAAAAAAACGAAAAAAAAAAAAGAAAAAAAAACGAAAAAAACGAAAAATTACCGAGTACGAAGATTTTATGGAGTGCGAAGATCTTGCAGAGTGCGTGGATTTTATAGTATGTGCGCGTCCCTAGCTGTGGAGTGCGATGTCCCATGTGGAGTGCGAAGAATTTGTGGAATGCGAAGAATTCCGAGTATGCGTGGCTGGTATAGAGACCACATAGGGAAATTTCGCGGCCAGAACCAAAATTCCAATCCCAAAGCCGGCCCAAACTTCCAGGGGCACACCAGTGGGTTCTATTTTTCCAAGTTCACCTTGGGTGAGGTCCCGGGGAAGAAACTTGCTAATTTTTACTTAGCCAACCTTTAAAAACGTTACCTTTGACAACCCTGTCCTTCTTCTGTAGACAAATGAGGAAACTTCCTTATCAAAGCAGCCTTCAATTCATTCAACGTCCACAGCTCCTTTGGAACGACATAGGGGATAGAAAGCTGTGGAGGGGCATTCAATGGATTCGCCGTGGGCCAACTGTTCCCTCCAGATTGAGCTGAAATGCCTATCAAAGTAACATACCAAAACCCAGGTCTGGAGTACGATGAAAACATGGTATGCGAAGATTTTCTGAATATGGGAATGTTGCCTTTAGAATATCTCATGAAAAATATCCCATCATATCCCAATGCATCCTGCATTTGAGGGTATCCCACTTTATTCCATAGATATTCCATCAATATACCACCATCGATATATGATATACCCACGGATTGCCATAGCCATGGCGCCTGCCAGTTTCCCCAAAGGACGCCATGGCTCAGTCGATGCGTTCACGAACTGCGCTTGGCCGTGCCACTCCAGCGCTTTCCTAGGCACTGAGCCGGTGGTTCAACATATGTGGAAGAAAACATCAAGCCCCATCTATTGAGAAATATCTGAACCCCATCTATTGAGAAATATCTGAATCATTCTGAATCAAAATTTGGGTACGTTTTGAATGTTTGAACCAACTTGGGTCCATCTACTGTACTATATGTTTTTCAAAACCAGTTTGAACCAACTTTGGCATCATCAGTCCATTGTGGAAAAAGCTGAAAACCATCCACCCGACTTTCAGAAACCACGGAAAAGCCGACGGATTCCGGAGCGGAGTGGCAGGGACAACAAGTTGCCAATATGGTTGCACACCTGGGGAAATTTTCGGAAAATCTCCTGGGAATTTACTGGATTCTGATCCCAATATGCAACCAGGAGGTAGGTTTTGGATGGTGAATGATAGGTGAATGACCTCCAAACGAATCATCTGCCAAGTCATATCATGTCATATCAAGGCTCCCAAAAAAAAAATAGATGCCCCAGAAAATGGTCACATTTTACCATCATTTAACCCCATGATATCCCCATGTTTCATGATTTTTCACACACATGTCAATGATTCAATGATGGTGATGGATCATGTTCATAGGTTTTCCCCAGGTCTTCCACTTCCTTTTGGAAACGTTTTCCCGTTTTGGGTAATCCCCATCGGTTTTCGGCTACTAGAAATGGTGGCTGTCCATAGTTATGTTCAATGACCAAAGGGCAATCCCCATGAAATTCCATTCAATCACCATTTCTGATGGTTAAAATCCATGAAAAATCCATTAAAATCCGTCAAAATCCATTAAATCACCATTCAATCACCATTAAATCACCATTAAATCACCATTAAATCACCATTAAATCACCATAACACCCACCGTCTGCCACCGAAAAAACCTGGATCCTTTAGTGCCCCACGGAACCATCCCTGACACCGTTGTAGCTGACCACCTGAAAGCCTGGCCGAGCCAAAAAAAGATGGGGCCCTGGGGGATATGGAAATACCATACTCAATGGATTGGTTTAAGGGAAAATTTACAGGAAACAGCATATTTGATGGGAAAATCCATGGTTTCCGGCTAAGATTTTCCAACAAAACCAATCCATTGACATACATGTCCATTGATATTCCATAGATATATCAGATATCTAATGGAAATATCTAATAGATATACCATAGATATACCATAGATATATGAAAATGTCCAATTAATGGAAATTAATCTATGTTAGATAAATAATCATGGTATGTCTAAAGATTATCATGATATACCACAGATATATGGTATAATGATATATGGACACTTATCCAACATGGAATATATATATATAGAAATATCCAACATGGAACATATGGAATACTGATACTAATCTATGTTAGATAAATATATGGTATTTCAAAAGATTAATTATATACCATTAATATATATTAATATGGTATAATGACATACCATTAATCTATGTTATAATTTCCATATTAATGATATACCATTGGTCTATAATGGATAAGTGCCCATATATAATGTTCCATGTCAGTAAATGATATATTTCCATAGATATACCATAGATTACCATAGATTACCATAGATTACCATAGATAAATGAAAATATCTAATCAATGGATATATATATATATACACACGTATATTAGATATACCATAGATATATCAGATATCTTATGGAAATATCTAATAGATATACCATAGAAATACCATGATGACCATGTTTCATCTCATCTTTCTATGCAAATCCGATCTCGTACAAATATCATAAAGGGGCGTCTTCGCATGGAACAGAACGGCAAGTCCAGCCATCAGCCAGGCAGAGCCGTGGCGTCAAGCCACCCTTGAAACAGGTCCGGATGTTGTGAAAACTTACTGTGAAACATAGTTCATGAATCTTTTTTGAAGGTGTTTTGAAAATGGGCTATGCATGAGGTTAGATGGTAGAATGTGATGATTTTTTGTTTGTCATGACCTTGGCTGAGGGAATAAAAAGATTGGACAGTTGTTTTCTAGCTCTAACCTGATCAAATCTAATGCAAACTAATCTCAGATATTCTAACTAATCTAATCTAATCTACCAGTAATCTGATCTAGCAAAATCTAGTCTATATACACACATTTGAAAGCATGCATAACATCAATGATATAATATAAAATGGTTAGATGATACATCCCATGTGCGCCTTTCTCCAGCAACGCCTCAATGGCTCGCATACCTGTCCCAGCGATATCAGGCTCCATGAGGGAATTCCGTATCGATTTTCCCATTCAAAATCTGTATATTGTCACATTACCATACATTGCCACAGGTTAAATAACAACAGGGTCTTTCTCAATGTCATCCCAAAGCACCAACAAATGCTGGTATTTCATTGGATCAAAAAGGGACTGGGCAGGGCCATCCACGGCGCTGTTTCGCCATGGCAGGCCTTGTTCCGTCTCGAAATCATCCAGTAGAGCCTCTGCTACTGGCCCCGTCTCGTCCGCTTGGGTCCAGGTTGTCCTGTAAAACGCGATCCCCAGCTGCGTTTCGGCGTAACCGGGAGACAAAAAAAAGGGCAAAGGACATATCATCCATGTTATATGATGTTATATGATGTTATATGATGTTATATGATTTTGTATGATGTGATATGATGTGATATGATGTTATATGATGTGATATCCAACAAAAATGGGACCATATCATGATCACATACTTTTGTCGATCTATATCACTATGTCCCAGTGTTTGAAGAATTGGGAGTTGTGAATTTCCAATGTCTACCCGGTTGAAGCCCTCATCTCATTGGTCCTGTTGCCCACATGCAGAGCCGCTCGGGTAGCTTCGCTGTTGAGGTAGTCGGACAGCTTGTTGGTGACTACGTCGAGGAAACCCGCGTCTGACAAGCCTCAGCTTCAAGCTGCACAAGCGAATGCCCTTACCCCATCCACCTATTAGTAATATTAGTATCTATTAGTTAGATGTTGTTACCCCAGCTGGATGGCACAACGAGTTATCCCAGGAGAACGCATAGATATCCCAGCACATATTGGATACCCTCTGGTGAACTAACATAGCTATGGAAAATCACAATTTTTAATGGGTAAATCCACTATAAATGGTCATTTTCAATAGCTATGTTAAACTACCAGAGGGTAGTTTGAAACTTGAAACTTTGAATTCACCAAAATCATCCCAAATCGCATCGATGTACTGTGACACCCTGAGCTGCGCACCGACATCGTAGTAGAAGACACCCCCAGCCGTCTCATTGCCTTAGCCACTTCGGAAACTGGCGTTATTCCACTACTAGGGCCTAGGGTTACAACTCATGACATGTTCTAACATGTTCTAACCTATCTTTTTTGCCTGAAATGAAGCGCTGGTAGGGTTGTTTTAATGGTTTTTCTGGATGTTTTTGTACCTTCCCCCCATTGACACTCATCGTTACAGACCCACGGACGTCCGCGCTGTATCGCCAAGCGGCTCGCATAGAGCGCCCGCACCGAGTCTTCGCAGTACTGTTCGGCTTCCTTCAGCTGCCCAGCCTGCGATGCTGAGGGGTCCTGGAAAAACAAAACATATATGGATCATTCCATAGTACCACCCAGTAATATCCAGTAATCCCTTCCAAATTCCAACATCTACCCTCTGGTAAACGTCAAAATAGCTATGGAAAGATCCACCATTTTTAATTAGGGAAAATCCACTATTTCTATGGTCATTTTCAATAGCTATTTTGACATAACCAGAGGGTAAGTACCCAAAACCGAAACCGTGGAATGTACCGGATCCTCGAGCCTCGATGAGGGAGACGCAGTGTGCAGCCTTATCTTGATACACTTTGTAGAAGTGCTCGTCGATGAGCCCGTGGCTGTAGGCAAAGTCCTATGGCTGAGGTTTTTTTCATCTACGAAACCAGATTGGATGCTGGTTCTATCCTTTTCTTGGATCTTTCTCCTGCGCAAACATATATTCGCCATATCTCACCGTGATTTACAGTGAGGATGCTGCCATATCTCGGACATATGGAACATTCTTGAACTGTTGAAGTTTCCCAAATCAATCCTTTCTTATCTTTCTTAAGAAAATGAAGTAATTAAGCCATGCCCCAGGAGTGCCACTTGTGCCACTTGTGCCACGTGACCGGAACGGTTGGATTCTGGATCTTCCCACTGTAGACACCGTTTCCTCGGCAAATCAGACGGTTGAAACAGCTCCTAAAACTGCTAGTGCCAAGTTGGGACAATCAATGGATTGGTTTTGTTGGGAAATCTTAGCCGGAAACCATGGATTTTCCCATTTTTAAATATGCTGTTTTCCTGGAGAAATTTCCCCTTAAACTGATCCATTGAGCCAAGATGAGCCAAGAATCCAATGATGACTCCCTTCAAATTCAGTTCTTTTCGAAGCTGGATCTCATAGGCCACATTTGGCACGTACTTTCCACCGTAACTTTCGCCTGTGACCCACAGCGGGTTCCTGGCGGCAACATGATTCACAGGGCAACCTATCTGTTGTACTTTTATATGGATCTGTATGAAAATGCAGTATACTGGCATGGTAGGGAAAATATGGGAAAATGATGATAAACAATGATAAACAAATGGATCATTTGCTTAATCTATTTATGGACAAAGCCTTATCGGACTACAGTCTTCAACCGGCTGCGTCACTGTGACTCCTCAGGTTCAACCAGTTCTACCATGATGGCAGTACTCCATCCCCTTGGGGACTCACCAATGGCTGTTTACCATCACGAATTGGAGCTTCTTATGGGCTACGGCATTGAGCATTGTTATATATACCATACATACATACATATATATATATACCATATATATACATACATATATATATATATATATATATTCATATGTGTATATATATATAATGATTATTCTATTATTATATAATGTTGATATTATGGTGAGATCGGCTATATAGTATCATTTGTCCAGATTATTCCCCGCAGCATATTCAGCGTCCTCTTGTATTCAGGATGCATGCTGAAGAACGCCTTCAGTGCAGCGTAAAAATCCTCCCGCATCTCTTTCTCAGACGAGACATAGCTCCTGTGGCAGCGAGGGTCCAAGTGTGACTGGCCAAGAAGCAGAGGTTGCAAGGAAATTACAACATATATCAAATGCGAGTAAACTCTATATGCCACTGAGCGCCAGCCTTCTATGTTGTGTTCTATTTTGGCATCGCGGTGCGATTCAAAGACATTGAAGAGATTGAACTCTACCTCACTGAGGCTCGGGCTTCTTCCCAGTGTAACCTCATTCCACCCCCTGCAAGCGTCGTGCCCGTCGTGCCCTGTCTCTGGAAAGAACTTTGTGTGTGAACTAAACAGGCAATCAGGCAATTGCGGCAATCACATTGCCTGAGGCCTTTCTGAGTGTCTATTGAGTCTATTTGGTTTCAAATGTGTTTTTATATGTTTCAATACTTTGGAGTATCATCACAGTGGCACAGTGGCCACAACTTCCAACTTCCCGGGAAGCCGTGCCAAGTTGGCGAGCGATCGTGCCAAGTGACTGTAACCGGATCCCACGGGATTGTCGATGATCATCAACTCGGTGGATTGTGACATCTCCAGTTGTCACTTTGTCAAAGGCATTTTACCAATATATTATATATAATATACATACATATATATATGATAGTATATACATATAATATATATATATATACATATATTAATTATATATAATACTTTATAATACATGTATATAATACATTCATTACTATGTCTGTCATTAAGGTCTTACTGTTTTACATCTCACAACTTCACGCTTCACACTTCGGCTTCTTCACTTGTTGGTATTCTTCTAAAATAGTTATACCATGGTATATCATCCATCCAAAGGACCAGGTGATGCGACAAGTCACGTTGTAGTCGTTGGACCAGGCATGGGGATTCTCTTTCAGCGTGCCATCAGTGGGGCTCATTGTCAGCGGCCCGATGTTTTCCACCTAAGGCCGCTGGTTGTATTCGAAGATCAATGACGCCCATCGAAACCGAATCGAAATCTCGGCTTAAACATCTCCATCTATTGAATCAGAATCTTACCATGTTTCAAGCACAAAATCAGGCTTTCTAAATTGAACATCTATTGAACATGCATCAAGATCTGGGAAAATCCCTCCCAACCCCTGACAAAAACGCGCGTTTTCGGAAACGCGCTTTTTGTTTGCGAGTCACTAGGAGACCCATGATGCTGGAGGCACCGGGACCGCCGTTCATCCAAATCAGGGTGGGCGTCACCTCGACACAGAATCCCCTAGAAGATTGGAAGTTAAAAAAGGGAAAATCACCTTGAGATTTTGTTTGAAATGTCCCGGATGTGTGTTTTTCCTATATCTTTGTTACATTACCAGGGTAATGAAAATATTCATGGTATATTACAACATATTATACATACATTCATGCGATGTAATTTTGGGTTTTCAACCAGTAATAGTGGGATTGTACTGGGGATGGTAACCCAATGCCATCCATAAACAACTCCCAAGACCAACAAGTTGAAGCAAGTCATTGGGGATGGCTCATAATTGGGTATACCATGGTATACCACATTAACATGGGCGACCTGTTGGCACATAGAATAAAAAAGCAACTTCCGAAATGATGCTCAGCATCTGTTTAAGGGGGCCACAGGCTATCAGCGTGTATTCGATACGTTAGACTCATGGCTTGTTTTTTGTTTTAACCATGATTTTAACGGTTTAACCAACCTAGAGCAACGGCTGTGGTGCTGCATCTTTTTGGGGATTACTGTAGGCACGTCGAAGATTATTGGAAACATTGAAGAAGGCTTGCAGCACTTGTTAAGGCATTGCAAACAAATTAAACTCAACATTGGTTATACGGATACGGTTATACCATATACATCCATATACCGTATACCCCAAATGGGAATTTCGGTAAAATGACAAGAAATGACGATAAGTAATGATTCAAGCCATGAAATTGGACAGTGTACGATATTTTCAGATAAAGCCATTTGGGTTGTATAAACCCATGTAAGAAAAAAAAACGCCCAATGTAGGTCCAAGTTGCGTCCGGCACATTTCCAGCAGCAGCTTCCACAAACCAGTAGAACATCTGCCTCTATGCATGGTGGTTGAGTCCCAAAAAGATTCAATCGGGATCCTCATCGAAAGAATAAACTGAATAAACATCAAAAACACATCTGACACTTTCGTGACAAACCAAATCTGAATCATTTGCTCGGCAAGTGAGTGGCCGAACCGCCTGTCGGTGGTTGCATTGACCTCTGCATAGCCCGCGAAGTGCCTGTTCCTCGCAGCTTTCGACCATTCGATCATGTGAATCATGTTTTTTATGCGGAATAAAATCATATAAAATGATCACCGTGATGTCTCAAGCATGTGGCTTTTTCAATAAAGCTGGGTATGATGAGATATGAGTGTTGTCCATTGATCCAAGATGATCCGCCCGGAAAAAACATGTTTCCGCCTCTTAGTTAGATGGGTCATTGCACTAAATTATCACCCTTTGGTAAACATACAAAAAACATCAAACAACTATGGACAATATTGGACAATGACATATTTTTTAATAGGTAGATCAACGAACTTTCTATTGTTCCACCGGTTGTTCCACGGTCCTCAACTTGCCGGCCCCTGGCAGCTCCGTGACCACGTCGGATCCCAGCGCCAGGAGTGCCGACACGGTGGACACGGTCAGCAGCCAGCGCGCCATGGGAGCCATTGGAGGTGGATTTTGGTGGAACCAGCGGTAAAGCCCATGAGAAGAACTCATTTTTTAGCCCATAATGATAATAATAATAGTAATAATATGTAATAATAAGCCATAGAAATAGTAATAAGCCATAAGCCATATTTTTTAAAAAATAAAAAAATATAATATGGTAATGCTATGGTGATCTTCAATGGTTTGTTTTGTGTTTGAGTCGAGCAATTGAGCCATCTGTATTGCAAGTTCTAGAACCCGTTGTTGACCCCGTTTGTTTTCCAGCATCTTTCCCATACCAAAATTTGGTGATTCAAGTCGGTCCATAGCTATGGATTACCGCTGAACAATCTACGCAGAGCTTTCCAGCCACATTCATGTTATATCTCTGGCAAATTCCCAAATGTGTCATAGAGACATATTATGGTGGTCTCTTAAAACCAGGGGGGGCAAGTTGTCACCACGATGTTTATGTATATATTTCAGTCCTCTAGACTCAGACTCAATTGGAAGATTTAGTGGTTTCGCTGAACCCTCCATGAAGAGCATAAAGTCGGACTTGACCGATCTTGAGTGCTCATTGGATGGCCCGCGTCTGTCGCCAGTTTCCACCAAAGATCCAGCCAGAACATCAGCTGGCGGGCTGTCTCAGCCTGTCACCTCCCGCATTCAACGAGACTGCGACCCCCTTCAAAGGGGGCCACCTTGTTGTTGCCACGATGCTCTGCCCAGAACGGTGGTCCGCAGCTGCCAAGTTGAACCATGGATGCCGAAAAACCCATGACTGTTATACCTTTGAACCATAACCACATTTGACGTATGGTAATTTTTCTGCCAGGGATTGGACATCTTAATTTGTTCATTTTTTGTCGCTTTTTTTCACTTTGATTTTCGATTTGGTTTTCGTTTTTTTCCGTTTGGTTTTCAGCTCATGTTTTTGTTTTTCTTGGTTTGATCTTCAATACGGTTTTCATTTTTTTTCGGTGTGGTTTCCAATTTCTTTTTTTCTTCAGTTCCATCTAATTACAGTACAAACATCAACGCAAAAAAAGGAAAAGCAAAACTGAAAGCAAAAAAAACAAAAACTATTTATTTAAAAAAATGGAAAGAAAACTGGTTGCAATTTATCCGCATCAGCTCAGGCCAGAAGCTGCGGAAAATCTCATCACAAGAATGGGTCCCAAAGATCCAAGAGTCAGTGAAGCACAATCCAAACAGTAGGGATTGTTTTTTGTTTTTTTTTGCGAGGACCCCGCATCACATTGCTGGTCACTCCCCTATCTCGGCGCCTGATGTAGCTCAACGACACCACGCAGCCCAGGACCACCGTCCAACCTTTACCTTCGCAGGGCAATTCTGACCCAACCCGCCAGTTTTTAAACGGCCCCAATGTGGTGGCTCAAGCCTCCCAGTGCAAAGCGCCGCTGCCCTTTGTAGTAGTCAGACATGACCCGAGGTCTTTCTGTTCAAATTGTGTGTGTTGAGATCTGAAGGATTGTGTTTGATTTTGCTTCGAGAAATTCTTAGTGTTCAAGTTGTTCAAGTGCCGATGTTGAACACGTTGAACATCTGTACTCCCCTTGGAAAGCCAAGCTGGAGTTCAACAGCTGAGAAGGGAAACTCTTCACGCTATGTTTCCTGGTTCATCTGTTGTCGCGTCTATCATTCTGCTGGATGAGCCAATGCACAGAACACCTGGAATCCATATCCCTCCCCTGTACCCCATCGGAATGCTGGCTTTCGAACTCTTGTGTTGTCGATTCTACAGTGGGGTGACTATCGTACATGAAAAGGGTTTCAAAGGTGGATTCGATCGCAGGTATATGTGTGTGTGTGTACTTTTGAATTCTATTTATATTACATTATATTATTATATTCTATGTGTGTATGTATATTATATATATAATTCATTTATTTAAGTGTTTATCATTTATATATATTCAGACGAGTATCATATATATATATGTATGATGGGGGTGGTAGGGGTCACCGGATACACCAACCATTCACGCTTCCCTCGTTCCGTTGTTTTCTCCACATTTGCGGAGTTCACCGCCAGAGCCACCGCGTGGATGTCGGGGGATCCTAACGAGGAAATGCCATTGGGTCGTTCATGGCGACACCGCCAATCTTGTCCACGACCTCAGCTGAAACGACGACATGGAAATCATGGAATCCATCACCTAAAAATGAGGATCCAATGAGCCAGATCTCTGAAAATTGTCCAAAATTTTCACTGACCTTGGTGTGGTGAAAATTTTTGGCGATGGGTCAACCACTGGGTCGACCTCACCTTGTTCCCGTTGCACCATCCCCCGAAGGGATTTCTCCTTTCCTTCTTCATCATCCTCACGGAGATGGATCAGAGATCAATTGACGTTTCCCAACCAAGATATTATGAGTTGATCTCAGGACAAATCATGATTCTTAATAAGTCTTAATATGGGAATCTCATAATCTCATGGAATCTCATGAATCTGAATTCTTATTTGAAAAACATGTTGTAACAAGAAGATCTTTTGAATCTAATGCCTTCTGGTATCTGATTCAATGTCATTCATCTGAAATCCCGGCCTAAGCGTATGCACGTTCTCTTCTTCCTGCTGCTTCCATTTCAGGAAGGCTGGATCCTTGGACCGAAAGTCTTGGTAGATCTGGTTCTCAACCCCCTCATGTCAGCCATGTCAGCACAACTCTCAACCACTTTCAGCCACTTTCAGCCACCAAAAAAAATCTTCCAATCTGCATCTTTCACTCTTTCACTCACCAAAAAGATAAGAAGCCTTTTCTCAGCTACCACCTGCCACCTGGGACTCCCCGGCCGAGTTGGTGCGTTCCAGCGCACTTGAACGCCTGGGGCGCTCCGCCTGCCCGGGCCCCAGATGCGACCCCTCGATGCGGAAGCCCCCTGCTGGCCGCACCAACCTGAGCAGGGCCAGCAGGGCCCCTGGATGACACCATGATGGGCGTTTGGAATGGGCTTGGGCCGGGTTGGGCTGCCCCAAACACACTGGGAGTGGAAACATGCGGAAGATGAGATTTGAAAGATCTCTTTTTCAAGGTCAAAGTTTGGATGGTGAAATGATTTTCCAAGTGGTTCCAGGTGATTCGTCTCAACCACGGTGGTCTCGTCGCCCTGAGTAGCCACACCCCTGCGGAGACATGGCTACTGGTGCCTGCCATGCGGCTTTTACCTCTCTGTATATGCCCAACCTACTGCTTTAGCTGACAGGAGTGCTTCTACTGGTTGGCTAATGACAAGATTCCTATATTTATCAGGGCTATAATTCCAACCCCAAGTGGCAGTAGCACCCCTGTGAAATCACAATGGCTGACGTCTTGCTACCGAAGCCCACCTTTTTCTGAGGCTCTGTTTTTCCACGGAGCTCCACCATTTCAATCCATGTTCATGGTCTATGGTAACCCCAAATAGGTAAAAAAAACTATATAAACTCATACACAAATCAAATATACAAAAATGATCAAACATAATCAAGAATAGGTGTCAATGACAGTTCTACTTTTTGGTGGATTACTACAACTACTATAAGTTAAGTCTTTGATCTCTCATTCCCCATGCCACCATGTCGCACAACTTGGAGCCAGCTGTACCCCTTCTTTGTCCAAGATGGAGACAAGTTTCCTGCCGACCCAAGGACTTGGTCGTTGGCAAAAAGCCTCTGGTCAAACATGGCTTGCTGGAAACTCCACCGTACTGAAGGATCTTCGATCTTCAGCCCTTTGAGGATTTTGAATTGCCATGTTTGATGGCCAGAGGGTTCCATCAATAGGGATACCCCCAAATGGATGGTTTATAATGGAAAATCCACCCAAAAATGGATGATTTGGGGGTACCCCTATTTCAGGAAACCTCCATATGTGTGTCTTTGAATATAAAATCCTCTACATACTGAGATCGTTGGATTTGGTCCAATCCTTCTGGGGACTCAACTTTGACCAACTCAGTTGGGATCCATTCATCCCACAGGGATGGAAAGTACAGCAAGATTGGGAAGTTTACCAGGAAAAGTATGGAATTTAGTATGTAAGTATATATATATATATATCATTGGATTGGTTTAAGGGAAAATCTTAGCCGGAAACCATGGTTTTTCCCATGAACTATGGGGCGTTCCGGTTTCAATTTTCCCATCCTCCAGGTCTCTGGGTAGCCTCGGAGAGACGCAATGATCTACTTAGGCATCAAGCTGCGATGAATTCTCCCAGTCAACTGACTCATTTTACCCACCAGGTCCACCAGTTTGTAGTGATAATACTGATAATATTGATGATACACTTGTAGTGATAATATTGATAATATATGATAATATCAATATTTTACCAGTTTGTAGTGATAATATTGATAATACACTTGCTTAACCCAGGGCCAATGCACGAGTCAGCTTGATTTTAAGGCAGAGACGATATCGAAGGTGATCATAGGGCGTTCGGGAAGATTGACCTTGCAATGCAACTTTGGCCTCTGCTGGCCACTACCATGGTGACCCATTGCGTACTGATCAAAAGTCACTACGAAGCTCACAGCCTCGCTTAATTCTGATCATGGGATATAATTTATAATGGGATCAAATGTGGTTTGGCCTCTAGTCCGAGTCAGACAGTTACAATCCCCGTGTTGGGTTAATAGAAAAACCGCACAATGCCATTTTTTCAAGTAACCACCAGCCACAGTGCAAATGATTCGACTCAGAATCAGATATGACCCCATCTCGGATCATCTGTGGCCTAAAAAGTGGGCAATGAACAGATATATTCATGAAATTCCCCGAAAATCATGGATGTTTTTCCAAATGGTTTTTTAGATACCCTTTGGTAAACTAACATAACTATGGAAAATCACCATTTTTAATGGGAAAACTCACTATAAATGGCCATTTTCCATTGCTATGTTAGTTTACCAGAGGGTAATGAAACTCATGATCAGTGGACAACTCGGGATTTTCCCTGTTGTGTTGCTGCCGGATTCCCTTCCCAAAATCCTCAGGGAGCGGCTCATCACGCAAAGCCTCAGAAAATTGCTGGCAAATCACATCCGGCCGCATGAGACTCGGTTTTTTTTTTGGGAATAGAAAAATGAAATAAAATGAATACCTCATGGAGGATTAAATATACTAAATCAAAGATCATGACAAAGTATGATATAGTGAGTGGCTGTGTAAAACGATCATGGGCTCTTGGGTACCCAAGTTTGACACTCGCCGATATGCATCTCCAAAACTGTTGGACACACTATGAAAATCGTTGAAAATCCATCACTTCTATCCACTTCTGATCGGTCAAAATCCATGAAAGTCAGATCCACCTCTTCCCTCGCCCTATGGTTCGCCTCGCCCTTGGCAGGTGCGCGACGGCCGAAAAAAAAGAGCCCAAAGAACTGCAGCCACATAACACGGCAGACCGTGGCGGAAAACGGGTGATTTGATGTGATTTGTAGTTTTAGATAGTTTTAGTCTATCATCCTGTTCGCAATGGCTCAAATTCTAAGCTATGAAACATTGTGAAACCCATTTTCTGGGTTTCTTGATTCCACCCCCCATGGCCTTGCCGGAAAAGCAACTCCATGTTTGCTGGTTTTTTATCGTGTCAAATCCATCTTTTGTTGGGCAAAATTCCCAACTTTGTGTGATCGACCCATGTTCACCATGTTCCATTAGTTCCATACACATTTGGTGGAGATGCTCCAATGTTTGTCGATCGACGAACCAAATTTCTTCGTCCCAATTTGGTCTTTTGACTTGTCAGATCTTGTCACTTGCCATGGCACAGGTCAGCACGTTGTAGCCTGTCTTTGATTCAAATCATTTTATACTAAGTATATATTTAAGCCACATCCCCCCTGAATTTTATGGAGGAAATATATCTAAGGGGATTTCCCAAAAGTACCAATCTTTGGGGAAGTTTCGATCTGAGCTGTGTTCAAAACCAGTTCCTTGATGCTGATACTCCCAACTATCTGCAAAACCATCCACCAAGCTGGCTATATCCATTACTCATGATATATCTCCAAAAGTTAAACATACGTATACAATATATCCCATATATGTATATCCCATATATATCCCATATACATCCCATATATATCCCATATATATCCCATATATATCCCATATATATCCCATATATATCCCATATATTCCCAGAATAATCTCGTACTCATGGGATATCCCACAACCGTTCCCCCGTTCCCCCCGTTCTCGTTTTCCTCACGCCCAGACAACTTCAGCTTGCCGCTCGGGCGCCTCAGATCCGGGAGATCCGCTCGGATGCTGGGAACAACACGGTTTTTTTTGGGGAAATATCATGGACAGACTATCATTATCTATCATATCTATCTAATATTAGATATTATATGGGATGATAGATATCTATTATGATAAGAAGTATCACTATCTATCATATCTATAATATTGTGTGGAGATATGATATGATATGATATTATTATCTGTGAATCACAGAGAATATAATGATAGTGAAATAATATCATAATGAAGTGTGGAAATCACTATCATTATCTATCTAATATCTATCTAATATCTATCATATCTACCATGATCATTGTGATTTTCATGTCATCATTATCATATCATTATCATTGTCCAAGCGCCCGGGCGGAGCTCCTGCGGTCTTTTCGCTGGAGACCTGGCAAAGGGTCTCTTCAGAGACCCAGGGGAGATTCGTGGAAAAATCATGGATCTATGGATATCTTTGAAGTAGATATAGTGAATGAGATATGAATCATAGTTCTTGATAGCTGGAAAAATACCTAAGTAAATAGTTAAGTATAGCCGTATAACCATATTGTGGTATTCTTATCACTATAGTTTGATGGAATATCTCACAATGAGATGACATGTACAAATTAAATACATCCTTCGACAATTGCATATAATTGATGGCATGGTTGAAAAGTTATGGTAGCTGATACGCCGCAAGTTCCGAACATGCAGGTTTCAAGCCAAACATTTTGCAGAGATATCATGTGGATATGGTTGGATAATGTTGGATGTATAACCAAAAGAAATGTTATATGGTGGGGTTCACTGTTGATTGAGAAGTGGGTGATCGCTTGAATCCGGCCAAGAAGGAAGCGGTTGCAACTCATTGTTTCAGGGATCCAACATCTTTGCTGCTATGCTACGTATCGCTATCACCTCTGAATGTTTGCTGTTTCTGCTTGCGTTTAAGCTGCTTACAGTAAGTTATATAAGTTATATCTCCCAAATTTGCTGGTTCGCCCGTTTTAAGGCCCATGTTTGTCGTCTTTGTCGCTCAAAATCATGTTTTTCATTGGCGTGAGTAATATGTTAAGGCCCATACTGTGGTCAATCTTCCCCTTTTCCCCCATTTTCGGCACGGTCCCAATCCGGGATTCAACTCCATTTTCGGTGACCCCAAGAAGTCTTGGGCCTTTTTTTCGGGCTTTCGTATGGCTTAACCACCAACCATCACTAGTACCATCTGGTTATTTAACAGTTCGCCATGGAAAGATCCACCATGCTATTAAGTTCGCTAAACCATCTATTTCTATGATTTTCGATTAGGGCCATCTATACCATGGCTAGCCCTGTTAGTCATAATCAGAGGGTAATCTCGTTGGGCTTATGGACCATCGTTGGGCTATCCTTGGTAATTCCACTGACACCTTCTTGATCTCGTCGACAAAGGGTGCATGCCTTGGCATCATCCAAGGAGGACATCTTAAAAATCCAGTTACTGATGTTGTAACTATTTTTTTATAGCAACATTAGATATCATATATATATATATCATATATTATGTAAAGATATAAAAAGTGCAACAATGGGAGAAAATCGGACACAAATCATCAGGTCCTCCACCAAGGTGCTGTACTGGGTCTCTTCATGGGTGGCGCTTTAGGCCTGGGGGCGGTTTTGGCATCACCGGGTTCGAAGAGGCGGTGGTTTTGTCAACGGATATGTATGAATTATAAATGTTTATAGGATTTTATAAGATGTTATAAGCTATAAGGGAAAGTCTATAGTGGTTTATAGATGTTTATAGTTTATAGATGTTTATAGATGTTTATAGTGGTGGTTTATAATGCGTTTCTGATGTTTTCTTCATAAAGTGGTTTCCCAGTACACGTGATGTCCCGAGCTGAGGCCCCCTGCACCGGGAGAGCCGACCTGGATCCCACATTGGTGGACCGCTATTTGAATCGATGGTTTGTGTTTAAAATATGTTAAAATCATATTGACATTCATGGGATTTTTTGGATTGATCTATCAGTTATGATCCAAAAAAAAACTTTAGTCCCCAATATATCATTGTCATTGACTATTATAGATTTAAAAACTTGATTTATATAACTGATTTTTGTATTTGTTGGGATTGGTGTGGTTGAATCCTGCATGGCAAAAATCAGGAGCCGCACACGGACGATCTCCGTGACACGGCACCAGGAGCCGTGCATGCCGAACCTCTCAGCGAATCAACGAAAACCACGTGCCGTTTTATATATCGGACCCATAAAACTGACACAAGTATTTAAACAGATATTTTTAGTGTTATAGTGTTAGTATAAAACATCAAATATACTGTCACTAAGGGATGATTTTTTTTCAACCATCAAGATGAAGTCAGATGATCGACACCGCCTGGGCGGCTGCTTCGCGGCCTGGGGTCAGGCTGCCAGGGGTTTTTCGGGGTTGGCAACCACGGACTTCCACTGACAAACACAGACTGATGGTGATTTGGGGCTTTCTGTGGTTAAGACATGTTAAAACAATCATTAAACCATCCCCAAATTCACCATTTTCATGTGGTATATATATATATATAAACCATTCCGGGGTGTATTAAATATATGTTACTGTACCCACATTAATTACTGTGGTATACCACATTTAGTTTGGGACGAAGTCATTCATATCATGATTCTAGAAAAAATCTATCTGCATCTATCTGCATGTCCCCATTCTTCGCTGGCGGACTCTCCAGTTTTGGTTAGCCAACTTTCTATGGTTCGCTGCTACAACCCCGCACTTCTATTCTATGCTTGGAATTCTGTTAAATGATCATATCAAATTGGTATTTATGGCTACCCAAGTATTCGCGGTGAAATCAACTCAAATCCCTTAAATCGCCTTGGTTGTAAATATATAATTATATATATATATATATATAAATCACATAAGATTCCCAAATTTCTTGAATCCAACTGGTGAAGATTCCCGGCCTTTTTACTTCGAAGATTCAGAATGTGTCACCTCCATTGATACCCTCTGGTAAACTAACATAACTATGGAAAATCACCATTTTTCATGGGGAAATCCACTATTTCTATGGTCATTTTCAATAGCTATTTTGACATAACCAGAGGGTAGTGGATTCTCCATGGATTTCCCCGTGGTTTTCCCGTGGTTTTTCTCCGCCTGGACATCGGACTCCTTGAGAGCCGATGAGGTGATGGCAACGACCAGGCACCACTTCGCCTCGCATACCTTGGGCCCAATATCCAGCTGGGATTGTAAAACAAACATCCATGGCATTTTCCATCGAGATCCAGGAATTCTTACATCAAATTCTTGGAAAATGGATGGAAAAACAAAACAATGGATGGAAAATCGATGGGAAAAATGATGAAAAATGAATGGAAATGGCCCGGACGAATCAGGAACTTGGGCAAGTTGACTTGTCAACCCCCCCTTTTGTCCGCTGGTTCGACCTTTCTTGGAAATGGTCGCTTCAGAACCCCGAAAATGGTCGCGATGGAGACTCTCTCCTACTGTATAAGCCAAGATTGAGCGAGGGGGGCCTTACCAAGTTTAAGAACGAATAAAACCAAGCCACGGTTTGTTTGAGTAAAAAAAGCAATTGTTTCAAAGCATCGTTCATTTCAGGTAAAATGTCCTCATTTTTTAAAAGATAAAACGTGGCAAGACCACCTTTTAGCATCCTTTTTGTTATCTGCTTATTATCCACATCCATCATTTATCCATATATTATTCAACTTGATATTCCTGTAGTATATCCACTATATCCATCTATAATATCCACATATATCCACTATATCTGCCCTCCATTTTTTTGGAGAGGGCCCACTGCGCTCCCGGGCTGGACCACGGTATCGCGCCCAGGCCATAGACTTGGGAGATCGGCCAACCAGACATCCTCTTTCGGACGACTCGCACTTCGCATGGGAAAATCATGGGGGAAAGCGATTTTCAATGCACATAGCATGGTATAAATGATATAAAATGCACATGAAAATGATATAAAATGTACATATCATGGTTTTTTCGATGTTGGACATGATGGGAATCCCCCATGACTTTCAGGGCTATATTAGCGGTATATTAGCGGCATCTTTTTAGCGTGTCAACCATCCATAAGAAATGACGGGCCGCATCTCATAGCATATCTAAGCATCAAACGGGCGGAAAGATCTTGGTGAGACTTTGGATTTTGACATCACTAACAAATTGGATTTACCAGAAATAGACTTGGTAGTAGGATGAAGGGGACACGACCATCAAATATGCCAAATATCGGTCAGCAGTGACCAAAATCAAGAGATCCATTGAACCAAGAAAAAATCACCATCGACTAGAACGAGATGAACCAGATCCATTATGAACATTTATGAGCCATATATATATAATTAGATATCTATAAATATGTATATATATATATAATATTATATGATATAATATGGGATATACATGGATATACCTTATATTGTGATATTCTGAACATTTATGAACAATTTATTACCAGAGATATCTGAGGGTTAAGTCAGCAGGGATCCCCGGTGGCCACCATCCAGCACCTTCATGCTGGGCGCTTCCAACATGCGCTCCATCAGCAGATCCTGCGGCGATGGCGACCGGGACCTGACAGGGGGAAGACCATGGAAAATTCAGCGGAAAACCATGGGAAAAGTATGGAAAAACGATGGAAATGTCATGGTTTAGAATGTGTTAGACATGTTTAGAACCGTTCCCCATCATTTCATGGCGATGTATTTTATTGAATCGGGGGTATGCTACCCATTTGCGGACACACTATGTATTGCCTAGAAAATGGTTGGTGCAACGCTAAAAATATGAGTTTCAATTCGACTTCGAATCTGAGGTGCTTCCATGTTCAAAACCTTGCAAAACCATGTCGAAGAATGATAATACCCAAATTGTGAATTTGAGTTCATGTTAATTTCTAGAACGAAACATTGATGATAAAACCTTTTTGTCTGGACAAATCGAAAGAAAACTCGATAAGTATTGGTTAATATATAATTTTCCCCATTTACATCCCCAATGATTTTGTCCATTGGATTAACGAAAAAAAAATCGCTGATACCTGAAAAAAATTGCGCTATTTGGATCTGATTCTCTGTATCAAACACATGGGGTCTGTCCAAGCATGGGGTATACGGAAAAAAAGGGAGACTTTTGATACTTGCATAGGCGAAATGATGAGAACCCATAAGAAAACACTGGAGTTAGGGATACCCCAGAATTGGACAAAGCCATTCGAGCAGTCAACCCAACCATCTGTCATTCCAGGTTCTGGTTCAGAAGGGGATTCTCAGTTCATGGATGATGTTCCGCATAAGATATATATATATACCCTCTGGTAATTTAACGTAGCTATTGAAAATGACCATAGAAATAGTGGATTTACCCTAATTCATAATGGCCATTTTCAATAGCTACGTTAAATTACCAGAGGGTATATATATATATATTTATATATATATATAGAGATATATTGGGTAATTAATTAACTCACTAAAATCATCCGGTTGGGACTTCCAGTTGTAAAAATATCTCCAGTTACTGAAAAAACGTCCCCGTCTGACCATCCCATTACCGCATCACCGTCATGGTAGATCCCCATTGAACGGCTAAAAGCCCATGGTTGAAACCACAGCTCCTTGAGCTCCTGGATAGATCCCTGGATTTTGAATCACTAAAACCAGGAAACATCATAAAAACCTTCAAGAAAAAAAACAAAAAAAAAACTCCATCAAGTCCCTAAATCATAGTCATAGTGAACTCGCCCTGAAACCACAAAAAAATACCACGATTTGGCCATGGCTCCTGCGGCACCTGGCCCTCACGCTCTAGGTCCAGCACTCCGAAGAGTGCCTGCGACACCACGTTGAGGTCCATATGCCTGTGATGCCACGGACGGTGATCCAAGTGCTGGAAGTTTCCGCATCAGCCTTGGGGTCTGAACATCTCAAACGATTCAAAAAGGTAAGATTCAATTATTCAATCATCATTTTATATCAAAAAACTGGTTCCATGATCAAAAATGGTGGTTTTACCGCGAAAATATATGGTTTAATCATCAAATAATAGGGGCTCTACGATGAAAAATTGTATGAGTCCATCCAAAATGTTGGATTTAACCATCAAATATTGAGAGTTTTGAATGTTTACCAAGAAACGGGACACCCCAAAAATAGATCGTGTGATATAATGTCAACCCCGAATCAGTGAAGCCTGGTTCATTAAAATTGATCCATTCACTTCGGATCCCAGCCATGAACATCCTCCGATTTACCCTCAGGTAAACTAACACTTTGCTAATGGAAAATGGTCCATTTGGGTATGGGTCAATACCTATAGATACATTTTTAGTGGGATGAACATCCATTTACCAGCTATTTTGGGGTTCACTAGGTACCAGGGTTTTGACTCATCCCCATTTATAGTGGATTGACCTATTAAAAGAATGGTGATTTTCCAGCTATCCGCCCCACCTGAATCCGGCGAAGTCCGTTAGGAACTGGTTCAGCTCGTGGCGAGAGAGGTACTGGCCTCAGGCCAAAGGAGTTGTTCGTGGATTCGTCATGGTGATTTTCCATGGCTGTTAAATAACCAGAGGGTACATGGCAGTGGGTCAAAACCTTGTACCCCTGGTGAACATCAAAATAGCTGGTAAATGGATGTTCATCCCACTAAAAATGGTATTAATAGGTATTGATCCATACCCAAATAACCAGAGGGTACATCCTAGAAAAATGGCTTCATGCGAGTTTTTCCTGGACAATCTGAAAATGGGGGTTTATGGGGGTTGATCCTTTCAAAATGATGAGTTCTGAGGATTTTGATGATGGAAAAGTATTGATCATGGAATGCTGCGGGTATATATCTGCCCTAAAATGGGAAAGAATGACTCCAAACTGTGGTGAATCTTATCGGAAAATTAGCTTCAACTATGAGATGTGGGTGTATCAAATTAGCTTCAACACACCCCCACATGGAACATCACGGACCCCCAGAAATATGGGGTCTGGCAGATCATTTTCACCTCTTGAAATTGTATAATTGTTTGTTTCATGCTGGTTTCAAATTGGATGTTGGAGATTGGGAAGGGCGAAGTCATTGGTGATACAAAAGCGTTTGGGACATTTTCAATGTGAAAGATTGAGATAGACTGAGATAGACACAACAAGAATTGGGGTCTGGTACCAAATTATAGGTTCCCAAATGCGTTCCACAGTTGACCCATGCCTCAATTTTTCGAAACGGGTGTACTGCCTCACAATCAGTTCTTAAGCAAAACACCCGCGATCTGCGATTGATGAAATATATATATAATTATATATAATTATATATACATATATATATATATATTGTGTGTGTGGGTGTTTCCTAAATATTGTAACAGTCAGTCAAAAGGGTTCCTTACTAAACACCCCCCAAAAAAGGAGCACCATAAAATCAAGTTGATTTTTCTTCAAGGATTGTTGGGCCTGGGGACATGTTCATTTTTTTTGCTTAAGGATGATTTAAAAGTGGGACCATGGTTCAAAAAATGTGAAACAAAGCCCGTCCATTCTGCTCAATGTAGACATGTGGTGGTTTGCACAGATCAGATTAGGAGAAAGAGGACATGGGAATCACTTCTCAAAACCATCTGGGATTGGGAATCACAACCATATCAAGTGTCAAACATGAATCATACACTATCCAAACTTCCCATCAAACTTCATCTACGAGTTTGCCAGGTTTGCTGCTGTGCTGGAGCAAGAATTATATTGCTGTTTTTTTTTGGTTTGTCGTGCACCAAATTGTGCTCCAATGCGTGCTTTTATTCGCGGTTTTTCGTGCGCCAAATCGTGCTGTATGGTCTCAATTCTGTTGAAAGTCCGTGCTCTTGTTATTACTTTATTCGTGCTCTGAAAATGTAAAACTTAAACCAAAAACTGGCGGTTGTGTACTGTTTTCCTCTTCGGACTCTTCGGAGCTTAGGCCAGGATCTGGCCGGAGCTGAGCCAGCCTCCAAAACCTATAGAAGAATATTGAATACTGAATACTCAATCTATTGAATATTGAATACTGTATATAATTCTAGATCCAATCACAAAGCATATCATATTGGCACATAGGAGATTTATATACTTGATTTTGGCTATTTTTATCGTGCTCCAAATGGTGCCCCATTTCGTGCCTCTGTTACAATATGTTACAATATTTAGGCCATACACAATATATATATATATATATGTATCTATATATATATATATGTATATATATATATGTATATATATATATGTATATATATATATATGTATATATATATATATGTATATATGGGATCAACAAGAAAGCGATGACTGAACCAAGAAAATGAAATGTAAGTATCACCAACAGGAACTGGAGAGTTGTAACCAAGGATGCCCAAGATTTGCGCACCCCTGGAATCCACCAGTGTGCTGCATGTGCTGCAGAACGCATGGTAATCCCATCCCGATCTGAAATGCCCCCTTAGAAACCCTGGTTAAACGTATCGGAATGTATCGGATCCGTGAACTTAGGTGTGGAGCATATGCCCTGGGTGCCAGGCCATGCAAGAACAGTCGTTGTTTCACTGCAGCCTCGCAGAGCAGGACAGTTTGGGTTCACCCCAGCTATCCTCCTCGGTCATCACGACCAGAATAACAGTAAACAACTCATCATACTATGTCGCAATCATCATCTTCTTCTTCTTCTCCTTCTTCTTCAAACCAATAACAACTCCTAGCAGCTGTTGTATACTCAACTATATACCCAACACCGTCGGCGCGCCGCGGCGCGGCACCTCCAAAGTCTCATCCGCTTGTGACAACATGTACCTGAAGAGCACCACGACCGCTTGAGCTGCTGGGAACTTCCGCAGGAATGTGGAGGAGGCCTGGATTTTGCGGAGCTGGAGGGAATACCGTGGGACATCATGGGGATTTAATATGGTTCTAATTCTTGGGGCTGCACCTGGGATGATTTTTGTGGAGATTTTACCATTGCAATTTCCCCCATATGATATGTATATATATATATATAACCTCTATATATATATATATATGTATAGCTATGTTTCTTAGAATCCCCGGCCCACGGAATCTAGAACGCTACGTTCTGAACGTACGTTCTGATCGTGTGTGCTGAAAATGATCCTGGCTTTTTGAATGGAAATCCTTCAAACTTAAAATGTTCAAGCTGCAACCGGAAACTTTATTGAAACCTCAGAAAAGGACTGGAACCCTCACAGACCGGCTCAATTGTTCCTTGATGCGCACCTTTCCGCAATGCCTGCCTTTTGGCAGGCCTCTTGTCTTTAAGGTTACTCTACATCACCCGAATCAAATCCTTTCTTGCTTACAGAAAGGGTTCCTTAGCAATCCAAGGGCCGCAGGTATACAGACATACTATGACATACTACATATATCTACATATATCTACATATATCTACATATGTACTCATGGTATACTTACTCATAGCCCGCGGCGCCTTCCCTTCCCCTTGCGCCAGTTGATCTGCGGCAACCATGGCCTGAGCGTCGGCGAGGGGAAACCCTCAGGATCTTTCGTCGAAGCGGTGAATTCCAGGCTCACCCACTTCCACAGATATCACAGATAGAAATGGATAGAAATGGATAGAAATGGTGGATGTTGAACAGTCAACTACTTTTGAAACAACATAGCTCAACGGTTTTTATGAACTACTCCCATCAATGTCTGTTCGTCGAATCCTCGTTTCTGCTTCGTGCAAGGAACTCGTTCGCACCAGTCAGCTGTATCAGCCTGGTGCTGTGGCTACTCAATGGTTGACCATCAAGTGGAAACGGTGTGTTCAACCATGTTTGACGGACAAAAATGTGGCTTCAGCCATCTTTAATCATGCAGAGGTATATTATATATACATACATATTAGACCTGCTTTTGAGCGCCATGGTTTTTGAATCATGTCTCCAATATATCACAATAAACATAGGAGTAGACCAAAAAAACATTAAAAAAAACACAAAATTTGATTGACATCACTCGGGTTATCCATTGTTATCCATTAACATGTTCCAAACATTAGACACATTCGATATGTCATCCCTTGGGAGCTTTTTTTGGTGGTGAATCCTCCCAGCCCGCCACACCTTGGCTGCCTTGAGCTGCTCCTGGAGATCGCTGATCTCCTTCTCCATGGACTGCGCCGGCGACGTGGCGGTGCAAACGCGATTCGCGGCGTTTTGCATCGGTGGATTGACCGATGAAAAAATGGTGACTTCATGGTGGATTTACCAATAAAAATATATAAAAATATCAAATAAACTCATGTTTGTTTTGTAATTTCCAGTTCGCGGTGATTTTACCAGAGGCGCCATGCGAAATACCTGGGCCCTTAACATCCATCGAATCCATCTACTCAACTTGTCTACTTTCCATGTTGATCCCCATCCGCCTCGATGTCACCATGAAGTTGGTCCACCTTGGACGCCGGGGAGGTGCGGAGGTGCCGCGGTTGGGACATGGACGAGCCAGGACGGGCGAGGCCCGCACAATCTCTTTGTGTCGATTGGCCTCATGGTGAATCATCGCCAGAGTTCAGTTGCTCATGTTGATAAATGTGGAATGCAAAAAAATAACATCATTTAACAGACATAAATGGGGATGGGTCAAAACCCTGGTACCTAGTGAACCCCAAAATAGCTGGTAAATGGATGTTCATCCCACTAAAAATGTATCTATAGGTATTGACCCATACCCAAATGGATGTGTGCTTGTTGTGTTTGTACATGCTTTGATCGCTCATGTTCCCATTTGGTTGTGCAAAACTATCCGGATTCAATCGCCCATCCGATGTCCTAAGATCCCCAGGCCTCCCCAAAGCGTTCACACAGCACTCCTCCGGCTTCATCATAGGCCTGGGCACCACTTTCCACGGAAAATTCTTCAGCGGATATTTAAGGACTAAGCCCAACACATATTTTCACTGACCCAAAGAATGGAAATAAACATGGATAAACCAACCAAGATCAAGATGTGATCAACAACAAACTGCGATGTTTCACGAACAAAAGTGTAATTATTTGATCGATGTGACCGACGAAAATAGGAACCAGGAAGATGACATTGGATTTCAGAAATCCAATTAGGAATATGATTAATGTAGGTAAAACAATAATACACCATTCCCACCTGGGTTAATTATTGTTTAACCCACATTACATGATATTATATGATCAACAACCAATAAATGATATAAATGGGAAAGTCAAACCAAATGTTAATCATTGGGGTATTGATATTCATGGGATAGCGCCATGCGGATCAAGCAAAAGATCCGCATTGCTGTGCGATGTAGCGTGCCAGGTGCCAATACCGGCAGAATGTTATCTTGGAGACGTAACCAAAAACGAAAAATGGTAGGATACAAACTGGATTTTGTTCCATTTGTTCCAAAACAATTCAACCGAAATTCAATTGATACCCTCTGGTAAATTAACATAGCTATGGAAAATCACCATTTTTAATTAGGGTAAATCCACTATTAATGGCCATTTTCAATAGCTATGTTAGTTTACCGGAGGGTACCCATCATTTTCATCACTTTCATCACTTTCATCCACTGCATCCAATCCCAGCCCAAAAAAGCACCTTCTGCAGTTCACCGTAGTCCTTGCGCGCGGTCTCCAGTTTCTGGTTAACCTCGTCCCGTTCCTGGCTCCGCATGGTGCTTTGGTATACCAGTTAGCCAGTTTTTTCACACGGGGTGTCTGAAAAAAGTGGTGTTGCTTCCAATGAAAAACATTTAAAAAAAACGAAATGATGATTGACCAACGGATGGAATTGGGGTTTAGTAAAATTTTCAAACAAACCCACAAAAGTTTTTTTGGGGTTTAGTATGGGGAGCATGTGACAAACCCACTGTTCCTGAACCAACCACTGTTCCCACGTGGCGCGTCACGCCGTGGCGCCTTCTCAAGTTCCGTCGCGCGAGCAGAGAACACCTCTGCCTCCTAGCCACAGGATTAAGTCATCCCATAATGGGAAAAGAAGCAATTCATGTGAAATGACCATCCCATATATACAGATAATATAATATAATATATAATATATTGAATTTCACGAGGTCTTGGGGTTTTGGGATTTTTAGGGTATATTGGGTTTCAAAGTCAAAGTGCATCATTTCGAGCAACCTGCGCGCAGAAGGGTCGTCAGGAAAAGCGTTGAATGTTGTGATTTTTGTTGAATCAGTGGTCCACAGGTCCAACTGGCGTTCTAGAGAAACTGAAACAGTCGGAAACAGTCGGAAACAGTCGGAAACAGTGGGAAACAGTCGGAAACAGTCGGAAACAGTCGGGAGCGGCCCGGCGTGATCATGCCAAAATTGTCAGTCCGCCATTTTTTTGCAAAAAAAAAACTTTCCGCGCAATCCCATTTTTTTTTGAAAGTGCAACGGGAAACAGTTGGAAACAGTTGGGGCTCGTACCTTTGACTCGGCAAAAAGAGAGCTATTTAAAACCAGTTTATAAAGAGAATGAACCTGAAATGGTTTTAAATAGCTCTTTTTTTGCCGAGTCAAAGGTACGAGCCCCAACTGTTTCCAACTGTTTCCCGTTGCACTTTCAAAAAAAAAATGGGATTGCGCGAAAGTTTTTTTTTGCAAAAAAAGGGCGGATTGACAATTTTGGCATGATCACGCCGGGCCGCTCCCGACTGTTTCCGACTGTTTCCGACTGTTTCCGACTGTTTCAGTTTCTCTAGGAACGCCAGTTGGACCTGTGGACCACTGATTCAACAAAAATCACAACATTCAACGCTTTTCCTGACGACCCTTCTGCGCGCAGGTTGCTCGAAATGATGCATTTTGACTTTGAAACCCAATATACCCTAAAAATCACAAAACCCCAAGACCTCGTGAAATTTAACAATATAATATATAATATATAATATAATACAATATAATATAAGATAATATGATATAATATAATACAGTATAATATGTATAGTTATATATATATAATTATATATATATATATTGTGTGTGTGTCTGTGAGTAATGCAAATTTTGACCATGGCATGTGTGCCAATACTGGGATGTGAAGCAAAACCACAGACGGTCTTAAGAGGGCGATAACCAAGAGAAACGGAACCTGAGTAAGGTGATAACCACCAGAAATTGAGGTTGGCCAAAGAATCCTAAGGTTGATCGAAGAATGAAGGGTCTTTGATGTTTTTTTTTTCGAAAAATGTGCCAAACAAACACATCACATTGGCCTGGGCCTGTTCAGAAAACATAACATCATTCTGCGAAAAACCACGAGTACCTGAACAACTCAGCAACGCCACCAAGTATTACTCTTCTTGAAGCGTCCTCCAACGTTTTCTGTTTCGTGTTTGTTTTTTGTCTGTTGTTTCCTGTTTTGTGTTTCCTTGCGTATCCAAAAACGGTTCAGGGCTCATATAGACGGAAGACGCGAACTACTGTAAACAATTTGACGCAGCCACAGCGGCAACAGCGCAATACTCTTCAGAATAAAAACGCTACATTACAATTCTAGGCAAAATCAAATGTAACTATAATCGTATAACCGTATAACTATCATCAACTAGAAACAACGGTACTCCTCTTTCGGGTTTCTATAAGTCATATGTCCAACTACAATCAACCATAATCAATAATAATCAACTGGAATTAAGTAGCATTAACCATACTTAACCCTAGTTATGTTTTAAATAACAATTCTATAACCACAATTAACCATCCTAAAGTCGAATTCACAATACTTAACTCTCACATTATCCTGTGAACTGCTTGGTCTTTTACCACTTCCAGGGGGTTCTCCACGTCCCCCGGCGTTATCGGCGGCCTCGCGCGCAAAGGTGGCCTGCTGCTCGGCGCGCGAGCAGCGCGCCTTGGCATCCGCGCAGTTGGCCGCGCGCGCCTCCGAGGTCTTCACAACCTGGGGACGCGACGGCCATGGAGAGTCGATTGGGGATATGGTGATGGCCCCAGTTATACCAGTTATAACTAATCCCATTTATAGAAAAAGTAGTTCATTTATAAAAATCCCAAGTTATACCAGTTATATACCAGTTATAAGATGTTATAAGTACTTTTTGAAAACCCCATAGAAATAGAATGTATAATCCCATAGAAATAACCAGTTATAAGTTATAACTAATAAATGGCCATAACTGCATGTCTTTTGATTTGTAGATAGATTGCTGGTGATCAAAGATAATTACAACAGATTGTTGTGGTTTAGGTCAAAGGTTGCTATTTAGGAAAAAAATGCATAAGATATAAGATACAAGAATTTACAAAATAGATGTTATAAGACATAAGATTTCGATATATCGAATTTAACATGAATATAGTACAATACATCTATATCAGAGATGTTGTCTCTGTAAGCCACTGATATTGTTCATTTTTGAGTTCTCCCAATTTTGTGTTGCCTTCTGGCAGCCAAGTGGCAATCGCCAGCTGCTCTTGCAGCGAATTGCTCAAGATCTGGCTCTCGCTGGCAGCTTGTGATGCCTGAGTTGCTGGCCATCGATGCCTTTGACTTGGGGAAGCCCAATTTCCTCTCAGCCATGGGAGAATTATACGTACCCTCTGGTAATTTAACATAGCTAGTGAAAATCACCATGTTTAATGGGAAATTCCACTATCAATGGCCATTTTCAATAGCTATGTTAAATTACCAGAGGGTATACCAAACAAGGAGTGTCCTGCAAGTTGTGTCCCTTGAAAAAACCACTGGGAGGCCATAACTTTTGCCAAGTTCAAAACTTACTTTTGCTGAGTCACCTATGGATGGAGATATCATCAGCAAATGGAGGGACTACCAATAAGTGGAACATGAATTTGGCCCAAAGAGGCTATATGGATGAGAGTCAGCTGGTAACCCTAAACGCTTGCTGAAATCTGCAACCTGCGACTTTGCCCCCATCTCCTTAATTTGGTGGTGATATTCCTTCTTTTGCTGGTTGGGAATATCCCCATATCTTACTGTCTCAGTGCAGTGCAGTATTTGCAGGTGAAATTTTAGTACATGAGGCCGGCTTTCCAAGAATTGAGCGTGTCAATGTATACCCAAAAAAACGACATTATTGACGGGGCAAATGATGTTCAAAGCAACGTAAACCGCTGGAATGTGGGTGGTGTTCCTCAATTTCTGGGCAAACCCACCATGGTTGGTTTATACTGCTGTTTTTGATGCTTGATAGTTTTACTCCAAATGTTGAAAATAGTGCCACCCACGTTTTGAAATCTAAAAAAGAAAGCATCAATATTCGTAATACAGAAAGAAATATGGACCTCCATAATAACACTACTAAAAACAAACAAGATCGGAGTATTTTGATAGTCTATTTGGGGATGGGTCAAAACCTTGTACCCCTTCTGTTCACCCCAAGTCATAGCTGGGATTTATGGATGTTCATCCCACTAAAAATGGTATTTTCATAGGTATTGATCCATAGCCAAAGTGGGGCCTCCGGAGTACACGTGCCGGCACGCCTTGGCGAGCTGTGCCCTCAGAGGCGCCAGTTGCGCTTCCTTCTCAGTGAGGCGCACCTGTGGCGAACCATTGCAAGTAGTTGATGTATGTTGATGTTTAATTGATAGAGAATATAATAGAATATAATATAATATAATATAATATAATAATATAATATAATAATATAATATAATAATATAATATAATAATAATATAATATAATATATCTTATATATATGTGTATGTACATATGATGGGATACATAGTAGAGGATATATGATGGGATGTGTTTGTATGTGTATATATATAATTATACCTATATATTTATATATATATATATACGTACGTGTATGTATATATATATACACATACACCCAAATATATATATATACATATGTATATATATATATACATATGTATATACGTATGTTCACCAGATTCGCAACATCCAAGCAGAATCCCAGCAGCAATTCTAATAAATACCACATGGCCACATGGGACCCGAACATGAACAGATCCAATACTAAACCGCGGGGTTTCTAGGGCCGTCTTTGAAAACACAGATGTATTTCATACTCATCTGATCTTCCCCATGAAATCATGATGAAATAATGTAAAATATGGGTTTAATGGCCATAACTCATGCTTATCTCACCAACTTACAGTTTGACAGTAAGAATGACGAAATGTTTCGACCCATTTAGAGGCTCGAACTGTGGCTTGGAGTAATCTATGCATTCTTCCCCGAAATTATCAGGAAAGCCATTTAATAAGAAACGAAGATGAGGGGAACGGAAAAAAACAAAAAAAAACTGGTTTAACCAACAAAAAAAATGTCAAGTAGATATCAGGGTTGAGCGAAACAACACAGCTATGCCACCCACATATTCGCACATATTTGTTGCCAACAATGGGGATGGGGCTGAGAACAACAGGGAGATGACCATCCCATACCAATGGGGACATTGTCCAATTCTAATGGGAACGTTGTCGAATAGAAATTGGGACTTGGCGGACAAACATTGGGATTTCTCATCCAGTTCTCAAACGTGGCAAAGGGAAAGCATTTGCTTGTTGTTGTGCACCAGGTTATAACATGTTGGAAATGCATTATATGCAATGACTGACCATAGGTGCATTCGATTGCTCCATATCTGTTGCCCTCCCAATTTTTCTGTTCGACTGGCAGCCCCCTTCCATCCTGCCTCCAACTGCAGTCGTGCATCCTGAAGACAAAGATTTCAAAGGCCTATAATCAAACCACAATCCTCAGGGGTGAACTACGCATTTCCTGTTTCTAATTGTCATATCACCGGGTTTTCGAAGCAAAAATGCTGGAAAACAGCTGGCGGGAGAGGGAAAGTTTGCCGATTGCTGCAGCCGTTTGTCTCTTCAACGTGGGCTTGCCAAATCACCAAATGAAGTTTAATCATCCTAAATCTTCCTAGACCCCCCCATTTTTTCGTCTCAAATCCACCAAAAACTCTGAAACATGACACAATCACATGACACAATCATCTTCCATCTTCAATCAGCCCTAAGATTCCCATATTTTTTTCCAAAAGAAATTCCCATTTGTTCCAGGAAATCTATTGGAACTCCCCTAAAAATCCACCCCGGAAGGCGGCGGTCCTCCGTCAGCTTGGCACGTTCCTCCGCCTCGTTCGCCCGCGCCGTGGCGGCCAGGGCCTCTTCTGAGGCTTTGGCCACGGCCTCGATGTTCACGGAGAAATGGCAGATTTCATGGGATGATGAGATGAGTTATGGCCAGTTATGGCCATTCAATGGGAATTTCATGGGATTTCAATGGGAATTTAATGGGATTTCAATGGGATTTTAATGGAAGTTCAATGGCATGTTCTCAACAATGGGGAATTTACCAGCGTTTACCCCCTAAAAAAATGAGGATTTGCCATGATTTATCCAGAAAATGTAGAGATGTTCACCAACAAACATGATGATTGTCGATAAAAATCTCAGTTTAACGAGAGTTGGTGATTGCAAATTCTGGGAGTTTTGCCAGTTGTAACTGGGGTTCAACTTGGTTCAACTGGCAAAGGGAAGGTGGTGATTTATTGTGCAAGCATGAAACATATGAAACATGGAGGAATTCACCAAAAATATACAATGATTTAACCAATGAACACGAAGTGCTAGCAAACTTCGTGATTTGGCAAAAGGAATTTCAAAAAGCCCGTGGAAAATGTTGAAACCAATAAGCTACCAGCCAATTTGGATAACTGGCTATAAAGTTGTTGTTTTTTCACCTAGTAAAAAGGCAAAGTTCCACCAAGAGAGATAAATAAGTTTTACATAGTTTTACCATGTTTTGCATCCTTTTACACGCAAGAATTGGGATTGAAGGGGCTACTAAGATAAAGCAGCCAAATGGAAGCATTGATTGGGATTTCATCAGCAAAAAAAGTGAGTCTGACCAGCAAGATGGTAGATTCTTAGATTGATAATGATTGATAGGGTAAATATGGGTAAGTCATTGTTTGAGAAAATCAAATAAATGTTCCGATTTTGATATATGAACTTGATCAAATGAGTTTATTCATGCTCAACAGGGTGCAACCGCAACCGGCAACGCCACGGCTTCTCCTTCCGTCCACGTGCCTGTCTCGCCGCGGCGGCGGCAGTCCTGCCACCCAAATTCTTTGGGCCCTTGGGTTATACCCTCCATTTTTTGATGGAAGATCCCCCCTTAATGGGATGAAATATGGGTTAGAGTCGGTGAGATTTTTGGATTATGAAGCACTTATCCAGCTGGTGAATCTCAGGTACGGTCCAACTCCCAGGTTTGTTGATCGAATCCCCAGTGGTACCATCGGGGATCCCCACTCCATGCGTTTCTCGGCATCTCGCCGGGCGGCGACCTCTCGATCCACCTTGGGAGAGGTTCATTGTTGGATGGGTTTTGACCATCAGGAACTGGAGACTTACGGTAGATGGTAATTTAACAAAGCTATTGAAAATTGCCATTTATAGTGGATTTACCCATTAAAAATAGTGATTTTCCATAGCTATGTTAGTTTACCAGAGGGTACCAGAAATATGAATTGAGCAACACAAAATGACAGTTGCACCATCAAATTTGCTGATTTCACGATATTAACCATCAAAAATTGGTGTTTGGCCATCGAACATAATGGTAAATTACGGCCATTCAAATGGGTATTGAGTGACTCACAATGGGAACATCATGGGATATAGTCCGGTATTTCGCCCAAAAATTGGGCATGCCTTCAAATTATTTCACATTCGACAGTGAGAAAAATGATAGACCATTTGATTTTTCACCACACTCCGGTTACCCCTGATAGGAAGGATATGGATAAAGTACCTGAATGGTAAGATGATGGGGATACTGTAACCATTGAATATCGTTGGAGGATGCAACCTGGTAATGGCTTGAGAGTTGCTCCGGGAAGACATCTGCGACTTCCCCCCCAAAAAAAGACATGGTTTTATCATGGGTTTATCAACATCATCAACATCATCAACATCATCTTCTTCATCATCATCAACATCATCGTCATCTTCTTCATCATCATCATCTTCTTCATCTTCATCATCTTCATCATCATAATATTCTTCTTCTATGAATCCCCATCAACTAACCAGGATAGTCCCAATATCCCAGGGTTTTATCATCTCCAACTCGCCTGGCAGACCATGTGGAACAACTCAGAGTAGCGGCGATCTTTTTCCGCCTTGGCGACTGGGCCGGGGTCACTGGGCCCTACCAAAACCATAGGGATTGGTGATGGTTTCTACAAGGATTTCATTGGTAAACCATGGGTTTTTACTCTACCCCCAATGGTTTACCATCCCCCGATGACTTCCCATCATAAATGTCTTGGGATTTAGATCCCCAAATGCTACTTGGTTATCATATTATGTTATGAAATGCAACCAAAATGGATTAGAGTGTGGGTTAAAATTTAAGGAATCTTGCTATAAGTTCGCAAGTGCCCAATATGTTCCCCAAATGGGCGTACCATATTACTATCAACTATATATTATGTATATGTATATATATATATATAATGAACAGATAGTTAACCAAATAGCTAACCAACAGTTTTGTAGCGATCCCCCAAAAAAATAGAAAAGTAAAATCCTATTAAAATAGTGCTATCATCTGTAGTTAGCCAAATATAAAAAACAAATATTGCAAGCACCGATCACGGCTCGGGTTGCCGAACCGCATTAGCTTCCGCGGCTTCTTGGGCCATCTTCAACTTCTCCTGGAGGGAGCTTGTGGGAGCTGTGGTTGACCAACTCACCACAATATGTCCACTTTGGTCACCAAAATAGCGGCAGAATTTATGGAGTTTCTCATCCATCCCTCAGCGATGTACCCAGACATGGGGAAAGAACTCACCGGCAGTGGCTCCACGAGTTTACGAACTCAACCCCAATATGAAAAAACCCTGACGGTCATTGGGGAACACAATCCCAAATATGGCAATAGAAAGATGCGAAACCATGCGCTGGCGAAGTTTCATGGAATTCCTTGGGGAGTTGCAGGAACGATTTCGTTTGTTCAACTTCTGCCTGTTCTGCTAGCAATAAACATAGATACAAATAGTGACATTGGCTGATCAAATAGTTGCCCAAAAAAAAATGGTGACACTGTGTCAACCAATTCCAGCCAGAAATTGTCTATCTTCATAGGAACACCAAGCGGTTTGGGTCCCTTTCCCCGGGATTCAAACACATCCAAATCATCAAAACGCGATGGCCAAATTTAGCAAGTTGGCCGCCAATTTCCCTTGAACCAACTGCACCGACTCGGTCCTCAGCATGCTTCCGGGCGGCTTCCTGCCGTCACACAGGCAGAAACCATGTACTGGGAAGATTCGTCTTGATGGGCCTTGACATATGGATGTGAATATGAATATACTACTAAGTACACGTGGTATACCTGTCAAAGATGGAATTTAAAACATGTGTATATATATATATGTATATATATATATGTATATATATATGTATATGTCTATGTATATATATATATGTATATATATATGTATATATATATGTGTGTATATATATATATAGATGTATATACATATATATGTGTATATATATATGTATATATACATATGTATATATATATATATGTATGTATATATATATATATGTATATATATATATGTATATATATATATATGTATATATATAAGTACATGAAGATTTCTTGCAGAGAATGGCAGAGAAATTATCATTATACAGTTGCAGATATCAACCCAACTTGGCTCAACTTGACCGTGGCCAGTTTCTTGCCTGTTGTCGCACATGCCCCACGATGACCATCAACTCTTGGTTCTGAGACTCTTTGGCGTCCAGCTGAATCTGAAGTTCACGCACCTGAAACCATCCAGTCTTGGTAGACTTCTAGCCACAGCCAATATGCTCATGGTGACACTACAAATACACATACTACACATTGATCTCAATTTGAGCCGACCAAAGTGGGCTGCTCACAGGCTGGAGTCTGGTTATTTTTGTAATATTAATATATATATATATACAATTGTATATGTATAATATACATATATATATATATAATATATATAATGTCCCTGAACTGGACGCCACATCACCCAACTGGACTGGGGATAGAATCTCCAGCACTGGGAAAGTACTCCAGCACTGTTCATTGCACGGTGAGTCGAAATGTGTGCCCCCATGCATCAAAAATCATCGATGAGCTCGGATCGGGTCGGATCAGGTCGATGGATGTTTTTTCCATCCGTTTTTTGGGGGGTCCACCAAAACAATAAAAGTATGTGGTATTTCACTGAGTATTATTACTACTATACTTATCTGATAGTATTGCAGAAATATTTGATAGTATTTCACTGAGTATTTGAAACAAAAATGCTCGCAATAGTATAATAGCCCTACTATCACTTGATAAATATCGAACAATTTGTAAAATATGATATGGTGCATATTCATAATATCAATCATATATTCAATCATCAACGGGGACTGTAATCCTACTATCAACAATATTAAATTTTGATAGTCCCACTACTATCCTACTACAATATGATGTTCCCCCTATCATAGGGGCCCTATGTCATAATATTAGATAGTCCCACTAAAATATTGTTATATATTATATTAGTATAAATTATACATTCTAAATAATAGATGACAAACTCATCCCCTCTGCACCTGCTCTTTGAGGCGCAACACTTCCGCTTCAGGCTTTGTCCTTGGCGACGCCAAACGTGGGACCACGAGGCCTGGGGTTTTTCCAACGATAGAACGAACGTAGTTTTTTCACAACAGCGATGGTGATTGGACCACTAGAAATTAGCTATTTGATGAATTGGTAAAACGGGGAATATTTACTGTTAAAATAACTGCAGTTTCTGCAAAAATCAGCTGGTGATTTAGCTACTGGGCCTTGGGAAACATGATGCCATGAAGCAGCAACGGTCAACAGGTGGATGGTAGATGGAACATGATTGACGGGAAAAAAAATGAGGCCAGGCATGACCAAAAAAACTGACATGAAAGTACTCAAGACACTGGTATATATGTGACTTGCTGAGACAAATCAAGTCGGTCAAGGTTTGTAGAGCTGAAAAGTTCTTCGCACCCATACCCCGGGCAAAATTCACCGTGAATCATCTTGGAAACCGCACGATTCACCTCTCGAGAAAGCTGGAACTTGCTCATGCACTGAGCCGTCTCCAAGAACGTCAGGAACAGGGTCCTCAAAAGACTGAGTTCTTGAAATTCATCAAATCTCAAATGAACCATAAATGAACCATTTTGGATAGTTTTCTTAATAGTTGTCATTTATGGTGAAGTCGTGAGATCCTTGAAATTGGCCCACGGCCCGTCCTCAGTGTCATTTCTCCCAGTGTCGTCCATGGCGCGGTAATTTCAAGCGTTCAAAAGGCAATCATGTTGTTGGGATGCAACATCCACGGGGTCTTAAAATAAGGTTACCAACAACGGTGAAGATGAACCCATGACGGGCATGTAAAGTAGAATGACTCTGATCATCTAGCCTATAATTTCCAGTCACGCGGGGCACGTGTCTTCTGATATGAACGCTGCAAATGCCATGCATTCAACTCCAAAGTGTTAAGAACCATGCACCATGCGCTGCTCCATGCCCTGCTCCACCTGCAAAGCCCAGATTTGCTTGGTATACAAGTTTGCTCATGCATTTAAATGCATGGTTCTAAACTCTAAATTGTCCCTTCACCCAATTTTGGGACAGCAGTTCCACAAAAGAAACCTTATCCGAGGCGTTACAAGACTCGTGGGGCGGTCCTCCGAATGGACGTGGGGTGAAGAAATGTATCACTTGAATCCATGATTACACATGTATCAGCCCATGAATTAATGAGTTGATTCAGCAGATTGGGATGTTAGGATATATCCACCAAGAACAACCCGGGTACAGTAATTATCACCGCCGCGAATTGAGATATAACGACTGCAACTGTGGCTCTATGGTACCTTAATCCCACTTTACTGGAAACCAGTGCTGTACCAGTCGTTGGGGCGCCCACAAATCGATGATAAAACGCTGAAATATATGTGGCTGTGAAATATGGTGATTGTGATATTTCACGATATGAGATGTGATTGCCTCGGATTCGAAAAATGGGACCCATGCCCATTTACCTAATTTGGTTTGTAGGATCGCAATGATCCAAATTATACCACCCGAAGCCAACAACTGCAGTACAGGATGGGCCCCCCAGTTACAAGTTGGTTTATAAACCATTATAATCCCCATGAACTATATATTAATATAGTTATATCTACCATAAACATCCATAAACCATAGAATTCAGCCACTTTTTTCAGGCAACGCTTCACGCTATCGAACGGGGGTCCCATCCTGTATAAATAGATATGTGCTATAGATATTTGCTTTGGATCCCATGAAGTCCCAGTAAACCACCATTATTTAACCACCATCCTGTAGTTTTTCAACGGTCGTCAGATCATCTCGAGGTCATCCAGTGAGATGTTCGCATCCGATCTCACAGGCCGCAACATCGCAAGGACCTGCCGACACGCCGACACCAAAAAAGGGACGTTCATCGCTTCCGAGAAGGCCCTGAAACACCCCAGAAATCCATGGGTTTAGAGATGAAATCACATCTTTGGGCCCATCGAATTGGGGGGTTGAATATTGAATTCGTCATCATTGGTAATCATGGTTGAAAGCCACCTTGAAAGCCATGATCCAATATGTGTCTTTGCCATTTTTTGACTACGGTTGGGCAATCGTACAAGGATACCGCATACCCACTTATCTGCCGACCGCGGCTTGAAGCAGCGGCAGACTCCAGCAGCGTTTTGGATCGTTTGTGTCCAGACAAGCAAAGAACAGCAAAAGACAAAATGTAAGAGAAGAAGCAAATAGCCAAAGAGAAAGACGATGCAAAAGGTGAAAGGGGCCAAGAAAACGGACGAAGAAAAAGCAGCAATATGGAGGACGGAAACGACGACCTCGAAAAAAAAATAAATATATATATATATAATATATATATATGTATGCAAAGAAATGGGATCAATCGAGTCACAAAGGTGAGAAAAATTCAAGGAACAAGGACAGGAAATCAAGAAACAAACAGAAACAGAAAGGGGGGAAGGACAAAAAAGAGGAAGGCATAGAGGCACTTAGAAACAGTAATATAGGAAGAACACTTCAAAAAAGAAGAAAAGGGAAAGGCAACACAAAAAAGTGGAAACAACGATGAACATCGAAATAAAGAAGTTTGAAGATGTGGGACGCGCAAACGACCCACAACGCAACGTGGCACATGTTTTCCATTCAGCTCAAGGCGCCTGTAAGTTGGCATTGGGCCCATATGTTACGGGGATATACATAGAGGTTCATGGATCTGGTGTGGACTCATGATCATCTTCACACCCGTCTATCTTTACAGATCCTGAACCGGAACATATGGACCTCCTCGGCAATGATGTCAGAATAAACTGACCTGTGCGGCACAGCTTGGTGATGTTGTCCCATTGCATGTGCTTGGTGAGACCATCGCTGATCATATCCTTGGTGCTGATCCACCAAAGTTGATCCGTGCAGTCCAAAGGGATGGATTCCTGTACATTTGGTTCTCCACATTCTGTACCGGGAGAACGCCAAAGATCCTGCCGCAAAGCAGTGAGATCTATTGCTAGCCTCTTGTCAGCTACCACTCCTTGACCAGTTGATGACATAGTGTCCACATAGGACCTGCAGTCTGTCAGCCAGTGGATTGTGCGAGAGTCACTCGCTGCCACTTTCCAGTCCAGCTGCTCACGTAGTCCAGTCTTCTTCGGGTTGGTCATGTTATAGAGTAGTGCTCGGACATACTGCCCTGCTTCACTCCCTCCGATGCTGCTCATCACTTCGGCATGCAGAGTTGAGCGACACACTCGGCGAATCGTGTGTGATTGCCACTCCAGGATATGCACATTCGCTGGAGTGCTGAGTGTCGGCATCCTGTCTGCCAACAGAAGAAATCTTCCGGCCTGGGAACGATGGCCGCTCTTCCTTCCATCCTCAGCTGTGTGTTCTTCGGCTCCAAAGCTCGCATCCGTCACAGATAGCAGCACTGCACTGTGAAAGTCGATCTTGTTCTTGACGTAGCGCAAGCCATTGCCCGTAGTGCGCTGCGCTGCAGACAAGAACTTGTTGGTGTTCACAAGATCCTGGTGTTGAGGTCGCGCTTGCTTCCCTTGAAGCGCCGAACATCTGTAGGAAAGCTCTGGCCTGCAAAGTCTGACGACGTAGCCGATGCTTCCCAAGACGGCCCTCATCTGCGATTGCTCCTCTGCACTCGCTGGGTCAGCAGGACTTCGGTCTCGGCGTCCCTCAATGTGAATCGGCTTCACCTTGCTAAGCAGCTCTGGGCAAGTGATCTCATAGTAGTCATCCTTTGACTCGATGCGCCTGCCACAGAATCGAAAGTTCTCCTCCTCGATGCTGCCAAAAGTGAAACGTTCTTGGATCTTGTCCATGACACTGTCCATGGTCTCATCTCCCGTCCAGATGATGTCGTCCACGTGTGTTGCTGCCAGTCCATGTAGTTCTCCCTGATCTCCTGTCAGAGCATAGAGTGCTGGCTCCACCTCACGTAGTCCTTGGACTTGCATCTCATCTCTCAAAGCTATCCAGAATCCTCGTGGTGCATCCTTGCTCCCATAGATTGACATCAAAGCCACAAGGTAGCTGCCAGGTTCAACTGCGTATCCTTGTCCGTCAGGACCAGGAATTCCTGTGTTGGGAACCTTCATCAGCAGCTCTCGGTTGATAGGACTTCCTTGGAGAAAGGCGGCGCTGATGTCGCCTGCTCTCAAGCGTCTCCTGGTGCATGCTGCGAAGCTGATGACCAGGTGTGTTCCAGTTGCCGTGGCTGTCGGGCAGTCGACTCTGAAGTCTCCTTCTTCCAGATCTCCTCGAAGTACCAATCTGCTCTTCAACTTCGGCTCCACCTCTGGTCCTCCTTCAACTCGTAGTCGAGCATGCTTGTCCACGTCAACCCATCGCATTGGCACAGGCTTGATGCCAGCCATGAGCATCTGCTCCACCTCCTTCTTGGATGGAACTCTGGTCGCTTTGTACTTGACCCAATTGGTCCATTCCTTGCCTCTGGTGATGTCCAACTGTCGTTGCATCTCCTTGGTCTCTCTCATAGCGCAACTCCCCAGTGCTCTTGGGGTCTCCTCCTTTCTTGTTGTACCTCTTCGCCATGAAGCTCGTGAACTCCTTCTTCAAAGCTTCTGGCGGACTCCTTGAACGTGGTCTGTTCATGGTCCTCTCTGCTGCGCTCTCTTCCTTTGTCTCCTCTCTCTGCGTCCTCATTGACTTCGCCATCTTTGCTCCAACATCAAGTTGGTTTCCTCCTGCAATTGCCATTGCCTTTGACAGCGGTGTCAGAACTGCTGGTGGTTGTGGTAGAGATGGTGTCTGCACCGTCCTCGTCGATGAAGTTGCTTGCTCCTCCACGGGTGTTCCAGGGCTGTAGCCAGGACTGTTGTCCTCCCAGTTAGTCGGACTTGTTGGCACAGGCACTTCATGTGGTGATGTCCTTGATGCCATTGATCTTGCCTCATCCTCTTGCTTCTTCTCCTCATCTCTGATCAATGCTCTCATCCTCTTTGGTGACTCATCCTCATCGCCTCCTCGTTCTGTAGGTGCAATGTTGCCAAGTCCTCCTCTGGGTAGTGCGGCTCCTGCTGCATCCTCATCGTCCTCAACCTTCCGGAGATCCAAGTAGGACGGCTGTCCAGTTGATCCCAACTGATGGTGTTGTGCTGGATCCTCGTAGAGTAGTCCTCTGCCTCTCTTCTTGCCCTTGGTCACGCCAATGAGCTCCTTGGTGAGGTATTCCTCTGAAGTTGCTGCTCTCACCATGGTCTCTGAAGTGAGAATTGGAACTCCTCCATGCATGATCCAGACATTCTTGCCCTCCTGTGTCAGAACTCGTCCAGGTCCATACCACTTGACTGCTCCTTGCTTTCTCCTCATGAAAGCAACCAGATCTCCTTGTCGGAATTGTTGAGCTTCTCCGCCACCTTTCCTCAGCAATGCCTTCTGAACTCTCCTCCTGCTGTCTTCTTCTGCCCAGGCAATCCTTGCAGCCTCTCTCATCACGTTCCTCCTGTTGAACGTGGATTGCGGATCCTCATCGTGAACCACGACTGTCTCTTCGTCCTCATCTGTCCATCCTCCAGCTCGTGGATTCCGGCCAAGTACCCATTGGCTCGGAGAGAATCCTCCAATGTTTGCCTGACGATTCTTGGTCTCCAGGCACTGCATGAGCACAAGCTGCATCTCAGATTGTCCTGTTGCCTGTGTGGCCATGACGACCTTGTTGATCATGTGCTTCAGGATACCTCCATGTCTCTCTGTCCTCCCGATCTGGAATGGGGCTTGTGTCGCTGCAGACCTCACCTCAACTCCTAGCTTCTGAAGCTCTGAGAAGAAAACTCCTCGGTTGTGAGTGCCTCGGTCCACAGTGATGGATTTCGGTGTTCCTGCCCAGCTCATCCAAAATCGAGTGAAAAGGTCCAAGCATAGGCGGCTGCTCGGAACTCCAGCTGAAATGCCAAGCACTTCTCCCGCTTGGAATGTCGTGCCATGACATACACCATGTAGAACTTGGTATCGGTTTCCCTCAGCATCTTTGACCTCAAAGACGTCCAATCCAACATCCTCGGCAAAGGTGTAGGGATTTGGAGCTTTCACAACTGCGGGATGATGGCCTTCTGAAAGCCTCTCGCAAGCTGAACACTTGAAGTACTTCACTGCTGACACCACATTGGCTGGTGCATTGGAGTACCTCAGCATCCTTTGCATTTGTGGTCGTGTTGCATGACTTGTCATGACATGCAACCTTCTGATGCCAATCCTCTCCTTTCTGCTCAGCTTTGTCCACATCCTCCTTCTGATCTTCTCGGCCTCTGGCTCCTCAAGTCGTTCTTGATCTTCCAACGTCTCCTCTCTTGCCAGATCGACCTCTGCCTCCTTGGCTGTCGGCTTTGCTGAAGGTAGATCCTCTTCTCCATAGATCTCATCCAGCGCATGTGGCTCCTCTTCCATTACCTCTTGCATAGCCTCTCCTGCGAATGCTGTTGAGACTGCATTCTCCAAGTCGATCTGAACTCCTCGGATGATCCTTCTGCACATCCTCGAAGTCCACTTTGCTGCTTGCCTCGTTCTCGCTCCTCTCGAATTGTTACCCTCCAGCGGCTCATGTTCATGATCTCCGCTGCAGGTCATTCCTCTCATCATGGTCTTGATGCCTGGTGAGTCTGTCCCAATACCTGTGGGTTTCTTGTGCAACAGCTTGGAGTCATAGTCCCGAAGTCCAAAGGCGCATGCATCTACCCTCAAGACCTCGAACTGCTCCTCCTCACTTCGTCCATACTGATGCGAAGATAGTGACATGATCTCCTGAGTGTTCCATGCTTCTGACGGCCATGGGTTCTCGACCATTGTCACTCCTCCTTTCTGCTGTTGCTTCCTCACCATCTTCTTGATCCATCCTAGGATCGGCAACCATTTCTTCCGCTTCTCCTGAACGATCTCCTGATCTTTTGCCATCCTCTGCCATGGTGACCAGGGTCCACAAGGCCATGCCACCGTGAGAAGGTACGGGTTCTCACGCTCCAGCATGTCCTCTGCCCATCTTCGATGCTTCGGGTCGAAGACATTCCACCCGTTGTTCACGTCCAGCGGTGTGCAGGTTTCATAGCCAGCTGCTTGAAACATCCTTGTCAACAAGGCACATCCGCAGAACAGCTCGAAGACAATCTTCCAGCGCATGGGCAAGAAAGCTTTTCTCCTGGTCAGGACAGACCAAAGCGCCATGTCTTTCTCCTCTAGGTTCTCAACCTCCTGTTCCAGCTGCTTCCGCTGGCCCTTGGTCATGGTGCGCTTGGTGTCCTTGGGGTCCATGACATAGTCGGCCAACTCCGTCTCCAAAGGCTTGAGTCGGAACGTGGTAGTTCCAATCCATGGACTCTCGTCCTCAAAGTCCTCGAAGACGTGGAATCTCGTCCTGATGTAGGTGACTCCGTTGGGTAGTGGTCTTTCTTCTCGTCCCTCCTGCATGAGGTCATACTCAGTCTCGTCAGCGATCTCTTCTCCATTCTCCATGTTGTAGGTGATCCTCCGGACGACGTGAAGTCCAGGAGGTGCCTTCTCAAAGGTTGTTGCCTCCGATCGCTCCTTGACGTACTGTCCTGGAAGTCGATCCTTCCAGTTGTCATTCACGGTCTCCGTGTTCCCATCCTCGAAGAGCTTGTAGGTCACTCTTCGTCCAGCAAGCCTCATCAAGTCGACGGGCAAATCCATTCGACTTCCTGTTGGGTAGAACGGCATAGTCCGTGGCTGCACATGGTGTCGGATGATCTCATTGTCCTGGATGTCCCACCAGTCAGTCTCCTCATCTTCTGGTCGGAAAACGTCCTTCTCCTTCGGAGATAGTTCTCCTTCTGGCTGACCTTCTTCCTCTGGCTCATCCAAGATCTGCTCCTCCAGTGGTGCGTCATCTGTTTCATCTCGATCCCATGTCTCATTCTGTGTCGTCCCAGCGGGTTGTGATTCCTCCTCTTCTTCGACCTCAACCCACACGTCATCATCCTCCTTGTCGGTGTTCTCCTCAGATGGTCTTGCTGAAGATGATGCTGCTCGAGTTGGAACTACTCGCACCTCAGATGTGTAGCGTTGTCCATCCGGTGCAATTCTGGTCAGCATCTCGCTGGGTGCTGCTCTGGCCTTGGGCACTCCTCTCTGATCTCCCTCATCCGAAGTCCTCCATGGTGGCTTCTTGTCAGAGCCCTCACTCGACTCAGCCATCAGTGCAACGGTTTCAACCGGTGCCACATTCATCTCCGCGAACTCGGCTGGGGTGATCTTGAGGCCCAAAAGGCGATTCCTTTTGCCTCGAACTGCCTTGAAGGTCATGTTCAACAACTTGCTGTAGATGGTCGAATCTTCGAAGTCAACGACCAATCCAAGAGCCTCTTGTGAAGGAAGGCTCAAAAGCATTGGTGCTTTCGATCCCTCGATTTCCATGCTGGTGACTTCTCCTGGAACTCCTTCTCCATTGTTGTTCTCCAGCATGACATAGAGAAGTCTTTCTCCCAGCGTCCTCGATCGTCCTCCGATGCCGTTGAGCTCGGTTGTCTGTCGATGTAGCCATTGTGGATGATGTTTTGTCACATTGCTGAACCTCTTCATCCACAGCTCCCCATGACAGGTCTGGTTGCAACCTGAGTCAAGGAACATGTAGGTCGCTTCCTCGTCCTCTGTGTTGACCCACATTGCCACATCGTCATTCTCATCAATCTCCTCGACATCGACGACCATATAGGCTGTTGGTGTTCTCGGTGGATTCGACTCCTCTTCTGCTCTCTTCACATTGATGTACTCCTGCCATCTTCTCATGCCCTTGCAGTAGCCTTCGCCCTTCTGCATCTCGTCCAACGTCCAGTTCACATAAGAAGGTTCGTTGTCGTAGACCGATCTGAAGCTTCGTCCCTTGTACTTGCCGAAGTCAAACAGTCGATCACCTTCGTCTCTGTTCTCACTTCTGGCCGTTGAGATGGATGCTCCTCCAGGTGTTCCCACGTAACCTTGTCCTGAAGGTAGAAGTGGTACAGCTCGATGAAGTTGTGCTGCACAACAAAGCGAAACAGCGTTGACAATCTGCATGAACTCCTGCTTGGTGATGGAGTTGTGGGCATTGATGTGGAGTCGAACCATGCGATCCAAAAGATCTCGGCATGTCGTCCACTCATCCTCAGATGTGAACAACACTGCATCTTGCATTGTCGACGTAGAGGTCCTCAGTGGCGTCGTTGGTGGAGACGACATAGGTGTAGTTGCCTTCGGCAGTGTCCTGGTGGTAGATCTCATGGTGGATGATGGAACTCCTGCTGCAGGAATCGGCCTCTCATCTCCTGGATTCCTCTTGACCTTGTCGCTGCATCCACAGTCCGGGCATGTCCAAACCCATTGGTACCCGTTGGATCCTTTCCAAGACACATCATGGTGTTGACATACCTGCGGATCAATCTGCCTCATGCTGATGTCCTTGGTCACTGGTGACTTCTTCTCCTTGTGCATCACCAGTCCACAGTCCTTGCAGGTCAGCATGTCTATGTAGGCATTCGATCCTCTTCTTGTCGTGTTCTCATGTGGGCAACCGCTGTCTCCTCTAGGTGTCTCTGGAATTGGCACTTCGCCAGCTGAGAATTCCATAGTCTCCTCAGTCGATCCTCTCGCCTGATGCACGTAGAAGCCAGGCGACTTGGGGTGATGCATCTGCATCATCAGATCAGGAACCAGACTTCCTGAAGGTGGTCGTGCTGCTGCCTTGCCCTGTGGTGGCATGTAGTATAGCTCCTGTTGGAACTCCTGCTCCAACCTCTCTGATGGCAAGGTCATCAGCCTTCGCACCTCATCCTCAAGTCTTCTCTGATCTACATCATCCAATCCTGGGTTCCCTGGACCGGAAGGCTCATAGCGATGAACCATCCCCGCAAAGGGTTCTTCCTGGTGGCTGTCTCTCACTGAGAAGTAGACAACCCTGGGCTTGCTTGGTGATCCCGATGTCGATCTCGTAGAGCTCGGCGATGATTTGCCATCGTTCTTCCCCTTGCTCTGAACCTTGCCCTTGTCCTTATTCTTGCCTTTGCCTTTGAATCCTCCTTTTCTCTTCGGGCAGATCCAGTCTCGTTGCCAGTGTCCCTGCTGTCCACAAGCTCTGCACCTCGTCCTCTGCTTCGCAGCCAAAACCTTGGCCTGCCTCTCCTGTGGTGTCTGGTTGTTGGTGGACTGGTACAAGCTGTTGCTCGCAGGAACTGAGTAGCCTTGATGAGCTGCCTGCTGCCTCGAGTAGAACGCAGCTGTCTCGTGCTCCACAGTGTCGTAGATCAACTCCAAGTCCTCAGCTGAGCACGTCTGTGCATGGATACCTTGGTCTCATACCATGCCACGATGTCCTCTTCCAGCTGTGTCCCCTCAGGTCCTTCTGGCATCTCCTCATAGTTCTCATCGTAGAGCTCCTCATCATACTCGGCATTCTCAAGGGTCTCGTCGGCCACAACAGGGTTCTCATCCTCAGCCATATAGGACTCCGCCATGTAGGAACTTCGTTGTCCCCAGCCCCATCGGCCTTTGTGATCTCCTTTGCCTTTTCTCTTCTCCCTGTCATGTACCGCTCCGAATTGGTCTCTCAGCGTTGCTGCCAACTTCTTGAGGTCGCTGAGATCGTTGCTCATCACCGATCTCACCAGTTGCTGCTCCATGGACGTGAGTCCACTCTGTGTCAGCATCTGCTCTCCTAAGATCGCTTGGCTGCACTTGACCTCCTTGTCAAGCTCGGTCAACTGGTTCCACCAAGCTTCCCTTCTCAGCACATATGATGCCATCGGCTCGGCGTTCTGTCGGCTCAGCAAGCCAGGCATAGATCCGGCTTGGTAGAGCTCCACTGCGGCTTGTCGGCGTAGTGGTAGTAGGTCTGTCTCCAGGGCATTCATCAGCTTGGTGACTCCATCAGGCTTTGCCAACTCCTCGATCCCCAAGGTCTTTGCGATCTGCAAAGCCGGCCCTTGGAGCCTCTCAGTCAGCCTCAAAGCCAGTCCTCCAAGCTTCTTCCTCTCACCTTCACTCATCTGTGACTCCTTCATCTCGATGGCCTGCACCTGGAACTTATAGTTGGCCCACTCCTCAACTTGTCCTCCATAGCCCGGCAGACTCCTCGCCTCAGGCACCACCGTCGTAGGTCTGAAGTTTCCATACCTCAGATTGTCCAGCGCCATGGGCGTAGTGTCCTCACGGTCTTTCACCTGGGTCGCTGGCTTGTCGTAGAAGTTTCGCAGGGATGCTATCACAGCTCCCGCTACCAGTTTGAAGATGTGGGACGCGCAAACGACCCACAACGCAACGTGGCACATGTTTTCCATTCAGCTCAAGGCGCCTGTAAGTTGGCATTGGGCCCATATGTTACGGGGATATACATAGAGGTTCATGGATCTGGTGTGGACTCATGATCATCTTCACAGAAGGCAAAACAGAGAGCAGAAAAGAATGAGGAAGGGAGGGAAAGACAATGTAATGGCAGAATGAAAAGGACCAAAAGAAAGTAGGACGGAGGCACTGTGAAGGCAGAAGAAGAAGGCCATGTACAAGGCAGCCCCCATCGGCCCCAGGCGTATACCGTATAAGGCAGCCAAACTCGGCGCCAGGTATTATTTAGATTATATATATATATATTAGATATACGGTGTAATCATCATGCATTATGCATAGTATATGCAGTGTAGTCTCTATATATTATGTTATAATGTATACGTCTATGTAGTTGTGTGGTACATATGATACATATGTCATGAATATAAAACAACAAGTATGTGCTATGCATACTCTATGATACTATACATTACTCTACATTACGTGTGTATTATATGTATACACATTATAGATTCTAGATTCTATATGTTACATACGAGATGTAAAGGATAGAATCTGCCAATAGACCCGTCCTCGACTCTAAGAGTACTCCAAGGGTGTGCATCTGCTGGCAGCGGAGCGATAGCCGCGATGGCCATATGTACTCTATATATCTGTATATCATCTAGCATCATATATCATCTCATATCAGTTATAGTTATTATGATATAGTTGCATCATCTCATATCATCTTATATCTTATTATTATACAGTTAGTATCTGGATATGTGACAAGTCATTCGGATACCTTGGTGGACCCGCGGTCAAGGCCCGCAAAGGGTTTGTCATGTTAGGATCTGAAACCATCCATGTTGGACCCTGCATGAGTGTTATTCCTGGTTGGTTTACTTGGAAGGGTACTAGTACCCGTTCAGTAGCAAATGAAATGACTTTGGGCGATAAGCTATTGGATTGGATACCCCACCTATTGAGGACTTGCTGGGGTTTCCGCAGTTCCCTATGCTTTCATCTAGTTGCCAGGTGTGCCTATGGCAGTCCGACCCCTGCCTCTCCCAGCGCTAGTGGAAGCAAATCAGACTCGCAGTCATTGATGCCATAGCTGACCACAACCTGTGCACATGGAGATATCATCTCCAGCAGGAAAAACGGAGCCAAAAACCGGGAGCCAAAAACCCAGCCTATTCCAAAATGGACTACTTGACTACTCTAGGCTGGTGATTCGCAGGATTCGCAGAATGGCTTGTGATAATCCCCAATATATTGGTTTATTGGTTAGTTTAACATTCACCAACAAGATTTTGACTAGTGCTCACTTCACTTTTTCATCATCGGAACCCAAGAAGGAAGACAAATACTTCAAAATGGGTTGTATCATAATATTATATATATATACACATATACATATATATATATACACATACATAACGTACTTATCTACCATAGCAACCCCCAGTCTGGTCGATGCCGAAAAGTTGGACACGAAAAGCAAAACTGCGCCTCGGTGTCACGCAGTGCCAAGCCCGCCACGAACTGAATGGATTCACAGGCCTGGCGCTGATATGTTCGATGGAAAAGATATAGACTTTAGAACCCTTAAGAAGCGAAAGTCTTAGGGAGATGATCATGGGAAATATGGGAATATTCTATTATATTATATTATATTATATCATATTATATTATATTTTTTGTATATATATATATTGGGCAATTGGATATACATGATATGCCGGGATCAGTCATTGACTTCAAAGTTCACCAGTTTCATCGAGTCCAGCCTCTTCACCAGGTGCCAAGACCTCTGCCCAATGTTTGCTGAAGTGGCCGTTGATGGTGATGCACCTCGCGAAACCAAGGGCTTGGGACGATGGTGTCTAGACTCGGCATCCAATTTTTGGGACTATCTCCCACATGTTCGCTGCAACCTGGACGTTTGCCCGGAGTTGATGTCCCGCCTTCCTGATTTTGATCCCTCATGAAGATTGAGAGGGGGGGGGACGAAAGGTAGGGGGGGAAAAGACAGGAGGGAGAGGCAAGAGAAGGTGCGACTGTTTGTAACGCAAGCACGCCGACGACGACGACGACGACTACTACTACTACTACTACTACGACTACTACTACTACTATGACGACGACGACGACTACTACTACTACTACTATTACTACTATTACTACTACTACTACTACGACGGCTACTACTACTACGACGACGACTACTACTACTGCTACTACTACTACTACTACTACTACTACTACTTACTACTTACTACTTACTACTTACTACTTACTACTTACTACTACCAACCACACTACCACGAACTGACCACGGACTTACCACGATACCCGATACCACGACTACCACCCTACCACGACTACCACGACGACCACGGGACACCCGACTACCACGACTACCACGACTACCACGAGTACCACGACTTACCACGACTACCACGCCACCCGACCTACCACGACTACCACGACTACCACGACTACCACGGACTACAACGACTTACCACGACTACCACGGACTACACGACTCACTACCACTACCCACGACTACCACTACCACACCACGAACTACCACTCCCACTTACCACTACACTTTACCACTACCACTACCACTACCACTATACTACTTTAATACTACTTACTGCTACTACTACTTACTACATACTACTACTCTACGCCCAGGCCGTTAACTACATTTCAATGGGAAGATATCAACAAGGGTATTAGGGAATATTAAACTCCCACCCCCGTTAAACTTTACATTGAATTGGGAAGATCAACAAGGGTATTAGGGAATATTAAACTCCCACCCCCGTTAAACTTTGCATTCAATTGGGAAGATCAACAAGGGTATTAGGGAATATTAAACTGCCCACCCCGGTTAAACTTTACATTCAATTGGGAAGATCAACAAGCGGATTCATGACTTCGTGGAAATTGCGTTGAAGAGTTTGCCGATTTCTAACGTTAGATGTATAAGGTAGGCATTTTGGACAAGAATCGGTTGGAAAGAAACTTTTGGAGTTTGAAAAGCTCACCCAAGCAGCTGGAATGTTTGTGTGCTTGTTGTTGGTGAATCGTTATTCTTGTAGGTATACCGTGTTGTCAGCACGCGGACTCGTTGGACGGGCCTCCAGGGAGTCGACTGAGCTAGTTGTTGACGCTGTGGAGGCGCTTCCGCCACGTCTACATAAAGTATCGTTTTTTGTTCTGTACAATTACGTTCCGAACTCCGAATACGTGGACCCGGTGGAAGGGGCCTCCAGAGGGTCAACCAAGTGAGGGGTTGACTCTGTGGAGGCACTCCCACCGGGTCCACAGAAACTATTGTTTTTGGTTAGTTGTTGACTTTGTGATTTCTAGCAAGTTTACATAAAGTCCAACCGGGTCCACAGAAACTAATGTTTTTGGTTAGTTGTTGACCTTGTGATTTCTACCAAGTATACATAAAATATCGTTTTTTGTTCTGTACAATTACGTTCCGAACTCCGAATAGGTGGGCCCGGTGGAGGGGCCTCCAGAGGGTCAACCAAGTGAGGGGTTGACTCTGTGGAGGCTCTCCCACCGGGTCCACAGAAACTATTGTTTTTGGTTAGTTGTTGACTTCTTGTGATTTCTAGCAAGTTTACATAAAGTCCAACCGGGTCCACAGAAACTAATGTTTTTGGTTAGTTGTTGACCTTGTGATTTCTACTAAGTATACATAAAGTATTGTTTTTTGTTCTGTACAAGTACGTTCCGAACTCCGAATACGTGGGCCCGGTGGAGGGGCCTCCAGAGGGTCAACCAAGTTAGGGGTTGACTCTGTGGAGGTTCTCCCACTAACAAGGGTATTAGGGAATATTAAACTCCCACCCCGGTTAAACTTTACATTGAATTGAGAAGATCAACGAGCGTATTAGGGAATATTAAACTCCCACCCCCCGTTGAACTTTGCATTCAATTGGGAAGATCAACAAATGTATTAGGGTATATTAAACTCCCACCCCCGTTAAACTTTACATTCAATTGGGAAGATCAACAAGGGTATTAGGGAATATTAAACTCCCATCCTCGTTAAACTTTGCATTCAATTGGGAAGATCAACAAGGGTATTAGGGAATAGTAAACTCCCACCCCCGTTAAACTTTACAGTCAATTGGGATGTTGATGATGTTGATGATGATGATGTTGTTGCTGATGATGCTGATGATGATGATGATGATGTTGATGAAATGAGGGAAAAATTCGTCATCCGTTTGCCCAAACGAACGACACGGAGAATCTCACAAAACATTGGCCCTGCGCAGTCAAAACGCACTTTCCCGGGCAGCACATCCGTCCTGGCCGTAGTACTACTACTACTACTACTACTACTACTACTACTACTACTACTTTTACCACTACTACTACTACTACTTTTACTACTACTACTACTACGACGACGACGACGACGACGACGACTACGACTACGACTACTACTACTATCATTCGTATGGCACCTATCTCACTAGAATTTACCAAAGAACAGAAAACATCATTTTTTCGGGGTTGCGCTTTATCTCG